TTTGCAATCTGATCAGTGAGGGCTGCAAGAGATTCAGTTTCCTTTTTTGGTTCATTCATCCTTAGTCCAAATTGCTGTGTGTTCTGAGATATAAGATTGAACAAATTCCTAGCTTCCTCTGGGGTCTTAGTAACTAGAGCACCACCACTAGCAGCATCTACCATACTTCTATCCATTAGGGATAACCCTTCATAGAAGTACTGGATGAGCAGCTGTTCAGAGATTTGATGCTGAGGACAACTAGCACAGAGTTTATTGAATCTCTTCCCATATTCAGAAAATGATTCATTCCCCATTTGTTTTATCCCACAGATGTCCTTCCTAATAGATCCTATTCTAGAGGCAGGAAAGAACTCCTCTAAGAATGCCCTATGCAGTGATGGCCAGGTTGTAAAAGATCCAGGAGGCATATAGTACAGCCAATCTTTTGCTCTGTCCATCACTGAAAAGGGAAAGGCCCTAAGTCTGATTTGTTCTTGAGGAACTCCTTCAGGTTCCATGGCTGCACATGTTATGAGGAACTCATTAACATGTCTATAAGGGTCTTCACCAGGCAAGCCATGAAACTTGGGAAGCATATTCAAAAATCCAGAGTTTAATTTCAATGGCTTTTCCAATACAGCATAAGTAATGGACATGGGCTAGGTCTGAAGGTCATGTGCAGCTAGTTCCCTTAAAGTTGCCATGTTATTATGTGATTGGACAGGAGAAACAATTACCTCAGTTTCAGATTCTAATTCAGAATCAAAAGAAGTAGCAACCTCAGATATACTGACCTGATTCTCCAAATTTAATTCAACACTTACCCTTGTGGTCTCCAAACCACTTCTTAACTGCATCAAAAGGCAAATACTGACACAACACTTAAAACAAGGGTTAGTGCCAACTCAACAGTGAGTCACAGCAGAAAAGAAGAGTTTGCACTTTGGTGAATTTTTATCAGTGTATAAAAGACACAGATGTTCACAAAAACAACTTATAAGGACCTAGTATGACAGTTAGAAAAGATAGAAGAGATCAAATCTCCCCGGCAACGGCGCCAAAATTTGTTAGCCACTTGTCAGGTGACACAAATTAACCTATTCCCCAATTACTACACACTTATAAAAATGGTAGCAAAGTGGTAAGTAGGGTCATTCTTCCACAGGGAGATTTGTCTTCTATTATTTCTTCTCTTGATTTATTGCTCAGTTTCCACAACACACACACGCAAGGGGGGGGGGGGGTTGTTCATAAGATGCTAATTCTACGTAATGAAAACAGATTTTAACAGAAACAATGAGAACAGATCAAAGAAGGAAAGAGAAGTTCAGGTAAACGTTTGTGGTTATCAAATGGAATAGCAGGCTTGTCTGGTGGAATTAGGAACAGTTGCTCAGATCAAAGTAAAAAAATCAGATTCTCAGCTAAACAAGTTGTTGAACAAAAGTGAGATTTAGCTCTCTCAGCAAGGAGCTAAATCTCCACCTCAAAAATCAGTCCTTAAGAGAGATGAGCACTACCTAAGGACCTGTACCTACACTAATGACCTCAGGATAAGCCTGATGCAAATTAACATAAGCACAAATTCAATTATAACAACCTTTTGAACATTCAATGTACTTGGACAGCCAACTACACTCTATGCCAGTTGTTTGACCCCAAATAAGAATGTCATACTGAATAACTGAGGCATGAGACCTACAGTCAACAGTTTTGAGAAGCTGAGCACAAAACAGGGTTAAACAACCTTCAACAATTGTCTAAACCTCAAATCAATGCAATGATCACGATTGCCTGAGACTGATCCTAAATTTCCACCGGACAAGAGAGGGATTACTCTCGGGACATGATCATGATAATCGATTCACAATTTAGACACATGATCATAGGAAAATATTGTCCAAACAAGAGATTAGGACTCAGATTTGAATAGCACAAAATCACACGTTCAATTACGAATCAACAATTCAAACCGTCCTCAAACATTAAAACTGTATCACGAATTTGAAAACAAAAACAACGAAGTACCTATGGACAGCATTCGAGGATCAAATCCTACGAACGTGATGACTCCTCTGTTCGGTTACAGCGCTTGATCGGGAGGAGCGCTTGGTGATTGTGCGATGAATGATGATGATCGCGAGGTCTAGCTCGCCGGATTATGCCTGGTCGCCGAATTTCTCTCCCGGTTAACTCTTCGATCTCACCTTCCCTCTCTCTCGTTCCTTTCTCCTCTCACGTAACTGCTCTCTCTCACCAACGCCCTGAGTTTTTGTACTCAACTAAAGGGCCGGGTTGGTTATTTTCACTTTGGGTCGTCTAGCCCGATTCTAACAATTAACCCAATGGACCTAAAATAACACAAGAATTGCACTCTAACCTCTAGGATGGTCAACGTTCTTTCTTGATCTTAAATTAAACCAAATTCTCACTAATGGTGACCCAAAGATTAGTAAATGTATGGGAATTTAAAGACAATAAAAGAGCCTAGCAACTTCCTATCGCTTTCCTAAAGGTCTTATTTGGGCAGTGTACAACTTTTAAAATTGATTAAGCTTTGCTAATAGTTATCATAAATCATCAATTGTGCTTATATTTTCAAACCATTTTGTTATTTCTATCATGTGGATTGAGGATTACTTCTTGATGGATAAGATTTTTATACTTTTTTTAGATTTATTCTCATATGAATGGGTGATAAATTTAACAATTCTTGGGTTTTATATCATAATCATTGAGGGCGAGGCTGATCTACTCTTCTGTTTGCCTTATTAATGCTACATGAATGTGTGGGGTGTTGGTGTTAAGGGACCTGAAACCTTTACATTGTTGGGGCTCATTTACACTACTTTACCAAGATAATTATGTCCATTACTAGAACTATGAAGCAAAGGCATGCCATGGTTTGACTATGATACCAAATGTCTCATTTCTACCTTCTTTACTCCCATCTTTGTTCTCTTTTCTGTTGGCAGGTCAGTTCTGTAATTTTTTCTACAATTAGAGGAACAAGGGAACTTTCTACAAGGACTACTCATGGAATTTGTATATCACTATGATAGCTATTGGAGAAGACACTAAAGATAGTATTGCTTGAAGAACCTGATATCTTACATATATATAAAGTAGGGTTAATTGACTGTGGGGTTGACAACTGGCATCGTGCGTGGATTTGGACGGCTGAGTTGGCATCTACCGTGGCTAAAACAATAGAAGGAGGCCCCTGACTTCATTCCACTTCTCCACTCATTATACGTTTTCTTCTACGCAGACCCGTCCTCAAACGGCGACTGGTCTTCCCTCATTGCCTCACAAGATATGGACCTGCTCGCCTCCGTTCAGCAAATGATTCTGACTAATGCAGCAGTCATCGGCTGCTTGCCTTCCTCCTAATGCAGCAGTCCGATTGCCGCCACTGATGCAGCAGCCGTTTGCCGCCACTAATTTAGGTCTCCAAATCCGTAATTTCTTCTTTATATGCTATTTCTTGAATTCCGCCACTAATTTATGCTATTTCTTGAATTCCGCCACTCATTTATGCTATTTCTTGAATTCCAGTTTCTTGGACTTAAATTAGGATGTTAGGACTTTTAAAGAGAAAAAATATACTGAACACAACATGTCAGATAAAGAGGAAAGGTTGCAAGTTAATATTTTTTCGTAATTAAATATATTTTTTAAAGTATATGATGTTGTAAGAACTTGAGCACATAAAGGCATAGTCTCTTTCGTTTCCCTTATATGATAATGCAATCCGTATCCTTCACTAACTTTTTTTATTGTTTTATTCCTTCCATTTTCCGTGGTTATTTGAATGAGCAGAAACAAGGTGCAAAGATCTACACTTAATTTTCTGGTAGGAGGTTCTCTTCTACTGCACATCACATGACAAAAACCTATTAAGAAGGTTGTCAATATTTATAAAATTTAACCCCACTCATATTTGCTAATAATGAATTTGTTTTATAAATTAGTGACCAACATTATGCAGACACTAGCCGCATATTGATGAATTTGTCTAGGAGTGCCCTCTTTATTCATTTTCATGCTAAAGTTGTATTTTTCAATCTTTGAACGCTTCTCAACATTCCAAAAAACACCTTCACGCGGGCTCAAATGTGACTGAATCATGAAACAAGTAGCATTCTCTTTTTGTATTGATTTGCAGTTGAATATGGCCTTTATTTTATTTAGGCAGTAATGTTATCAAATGTATAAAGAAGGCTATAACTCAATTGGGACTGTGGGTCAATTGGGACTGTGCCGGGGTGATATTGACTCTAAACGCAGGGGCCACATTGATGGGCCAAGTTGGAGAAATGGAGCCAAATATTCCATCTTTTGCGCTCAATTCTTCAACTTCTTTAAAGAGGGAGCTAGAGAAACAGATTTAATATCTGGTGGTTCATTAAAAGTTAGTGGAGCAATGGCAGTGAGCTCACTGAGGGGATTTCGGGGACGCATATCCCCCTCCCCCTCCCCCTCTTTTTTATCAAGTATGGCACACCAACTGTTTGATTGTTTGTTTGTCCATAATATTGTCCTATAGTTTAACTTCCATTTTTTTGTGGTTTGGTTTTGCGTTTCAAGTGTGAACCTCTGATTGCGATTGGAATGAGTTTTTGTTAATAAACTCATGAGAGCACCATCGTTGGCCCATTGCATACACCCCCTCGCATTGATTTTCTCTCTCAGGTCTGAGTGTGTGAATGGATGTTTTTCAAATGTAGGAGTCATGCCAGGAATTCTTGAGTCTTTTGGGATATTCACTACAGGTACATAGAATATATGAACTATTAATTATCAGTGTGATAGTATTGATTGGGTTTTTCATTGTGTGATGATGTTCTTCGCAATTCATTTGCTATCACTTCATAAGCATTTTTTTGAAGGATGCATTTAGAATGTTTTATGTGGATAAACAACAAATGGGGTCTAATTTTGTTTCCAGTTTTATGTGGAGACGGAGTGTATCTCAATTTGGACATCCTAATTTGTATGAAAATAACACTTTTGTTAGCACTCCGAGAAAACTCGATAAACATTTGAGGGTTTAAGGGAGAGTGACATACAACAGGCATGCGGTAATGGATTTCGTTCCACACTTATATAAGTTAGTACGATTTTAACATTGGAGAGTTGACTATTTGAGAAACCTTACAATTCTCTACTAGATATCAGTGTATTCTCTCTCTCGATGGTGAATTTTAATATACAGTATACTTCTTTTAATAATAAACACTTCTTTTTTTAGGAGTGTATTTATAATACTCCACTAGGTTTCTGTTTTATGGTGAACTTTTAACACAGCGTGGAGTATAGGTTATGGCCGAGGGAAAACCCACACCTAACAGCACGAGCAGCATCAATTGGGTGATGTATGGGAATCTTCAATAGCATATCTACGAAGTGCATCACTTTGGTGTTTTTGATCTGAATCTTTTTTGTTTTATCCATTCTTAAGTTACCTGTTGACTTATTTTTTTGACTTTTAGCAATTGTTCCAAATTCTTTTGCTGTTTGTGATAATTAAAAATCAACATAAACAAATGATTACAAACTGCACATGTGGACAATTACATGATAGATAATTTTGATGACTAAGCTACTCCCTGCCACGCTACCACAACTCTCCATTTTGATCTGAAATTTTCTTTTCTTTCAGCCTAACCTTCTCCCTTCCTGTAACGTCTCACTTTTCAAATGCATTGAGTGTTGGTTTTTGCAGGAGAGTTCAGAGGTCTGTGACTTCATCATCGATGCGGGAATTGGCAAATTGTGCGATCACGACCCACCACTTTGGATCAATATTTCATGCCCCCGCAGAAGAGCTGATCCTGTCCATCATAACTCGCAACCTTCCCAATACCTGCCGCCCTACCGTAGTTCAATTGCCAACACTACTGCTGTCCGGCCACTGCAATTGATTATGGTATCTAAAAATTCCTAATTCCTTCTCCTTATAATATTTCTCTTGAATTCTAAATTTTAGGATTTTTTGAAATTGTGAGTATTCTTTGGATTTTGGATTATTTAGATAATGTATTGGTGATTGATTTGCTGGATACTTGAAATATTGATGTTAAATACATAGCAAATAATAATTTTATGTATTAGAATTATTGTCGGAAATTCTCAAATTGAATATTTAAATTATCCATGTAAAACCCAAAGGAAAAAGGTAGTAATCCAAGTAATAAATTTGAAAATTTAAATATTTCTGCATATTCTGCAATATCTACTAAATTTTCTTGCTCGAATTCTTGAATCTAAAATTGCCATTCAAAACCTGTACATCTTTTACTTGGCACTTGCAAAACGTAGCCACAACTGATGCCAAGTGAAGTTTTTTTAAACACAAGAGAAGGGAGAAACGGGTGTTAGCCTTATCTAATTTAATAATAGAAGTTTTTTACAACATCTTTTACTTGGCACTTGCAAAACGGTTTTTTTAGATGTTGAACTAATATTTCAATGGTTGGCTTAATAATAATAGTTTTAAGCTAATTTTGTTGTTGGTAATCAAAAAGAGTAAGACAAAAAGAGGATGAGACATCATTATGTTTCTTTCCGTAGACCAATCTAGACTCTGTGCCCTTCCAATTGCATCAGTTGAACAAAATATTAGTCTAGCTACCATTTTTAGCCGACAACAGTTTTCCAGGTTCTTCCATTTTTGTCTAATGTTAGTAGCCATGTCAGGATGGGGCGTTAGGCATGGGAGCAAATTTCCAGAGGTGAAAATTCAATTGATTTGCGCACTGAGCTGAAAATTTATCTCGAACTAATTAGTTAAGCACATGGTCCCTATATTATATATTTCATCTGTTTAAGGACAACAATGACCTTTAAGAAATGTGATACATACAACTCTTCATATGCCTCACATGTTAGCTTCATTAGAAGTCACATTTATTACATAGATGCAAGACTAATATTCTTTTCATTATTCTATTACCTATGATAGCACATTATTGCTTTTGATCTATTGTTTCTTTTATTGGCAAGTTTTTTTAAACCTATCATCTTGGGTATGGGTTTTTATATGTCATGACTGGTTGCAGATTCAACTATTAAGGGTTCACTTGAGTTTGCTATGTGTTATTGTGGGTAAGAAATTATTAGCTTAATTTTTTCTTGATATGTTATTTATCTAAATCTTCATGGTCATTTGTTGTTGCCTACACCTATCTCAGTAGGTTGCTTACCCAAAGACATTCATAACTTTATAGGAGTATGTGATCCACTAAGGCTTTCAAGGTCTTGAACAAAAGCGCTAGCGTGAGCACAACACAAGGAGATGAGAGAATACAATGTGAAGATCTCTAACAGGTTATGTAGTGCTCAATATAATTTTTATTTTGTGTGAGTGGTGTGTAGAAGAATATTACTCTGCTCAATATCATTTTTATTTTGTATGAATGGTATGTAGATGAAGAATATTACTAAAGAAGACTCTTTGCACATACTCCATCAAAGCAATGAGTTTTCTACAAGGAGTTCAAGGTACAAAGGAGTTATAGTGCCCAAATGTGGACGACAGGAGGCTAGATTAGGGCAATTCCTTGGGAAGAAGTAAGATGTTATTTTCTTCTTTGTCATCATAATATCCTACAATTTATAAGCTTTTAAATAATGCATGTTCTTATTGGTTAACTTTTCGTCTGTATTTTTTGTTTTCCAATGTTTTCACTGTCCATAGAAGAATGCCATTCCCTCTCCTTCACCGAACTTTTGTAGAGCCGATGGCTTTGAATTTGCATGTCGTTGAGAACCAGTTCCTATAATTGATTGCAAGTGATTGTGAGGTTGTTAATTAGTTGTGGCTTGCAATCAAAAGGGATTCAGTTTGGATTTCCAATTTGTATAAGGTGTTTGTGTTTTGAGTCTCTATCGGTTGCAGGCTGAATCTTGGCAGTCACAATTTGGAATCTTAGCAGAGACGACAGAGACTCTACAGCTGCAGTTCCGACAGTAGCGAGAAGTGGTAGCCACCTTCGGTGCCTGCCCTTAAAAACTAAGATATAGAGACTCATTTCTTAACCAACGATTCATTGTTCTCTTTCATTTTTCATAGGCAAATGATGAAGCTACCCTATCAGTCATCGGAATGATGGAATCTTGCAACCTTCAAACCCATCTGCTTTATTTTTACCCTATCACCTAATTGTAAGATTATTTAATATTTATTTACACTTATTATACTCAGTATAAATTATGGTGTAAAAAGTGCATACTGTAAATAAATGATTTTATATCTTAGTTTTTATATTGTTGTAGGTTTGCTAATTATCAAAGTATCACATGTCATGTTTTCTTCTTTTTTATCTCTTAACAAATGATTAAGAAATGGCGATTTTTAGGTTGTTAACACCATTTGAAGAGTCTATTAACTTGACCCTTATCTTAATTGTTTGACCCTCATCTTTTGGAAGCAAATTAGCTTGAACTGTAGGTCTTTTCAGCTTCTTAGGGCAATACCCATATGCTGAAGTTTTAAAAGGCCTCTATATTTCACCGTTTACATAGTGAGGCATTAAATTCTTATCTCATTTCACTCAAATTTCAAATTATACCATACACAAATGTTAAGCCCCTACACACACCTAAAATTCAATAACTGCAAATATCACTTGCACATAACCCAAGCCCGTGCGAAGCACGGGGTTAAAAACTAGTATATATATAAAGTAGGGTTTTTTAGTTGTGGGGTTGACAGGTGTTCACTGACTAGGCTGCTGAGATGGATTAAATTTTGCTCACTCAGCTGCCACGTAACCGGAAGGGTAATAGATCTGTAACTTCCTCGACCGAACCTCGCGACTTCATCGCCTTCTTTCTCCTTCCAGAACTGCTCAATTGCACTTCAATTTCATGCGTTTTCGCAGGTGAGACGTCGGAGGCGGCGTGCTATGGGCAGTTAATGTTGTTTCTCTGTAACCCTAGGTACGTTTATTACCCCTACTTTATTCCAGCGTTTATTACCCCTATTTTATTCCAAATGATTCACCTTCTCTGTGTTTGGATGTGTTTGTGTGTGTTTCCCTATATATATACATCGAACAACGCAATGGGAGAATTCCAGAACCCACTGCAGAACATTTTATGCAGCACCTAGGTAATTTTAATTTTTTAAGTTTATTTTTCTTTTGATATTTTCATGATTTTGGACATGATAATCTGATTTTCACATCCATGACACAGCATCGGCCCTTCAAGTTCTTCGTGAAAACAACTTAATACACCAGGACATTAAACCACAGGTTTGCTTTTACATCTAACACGGATTAATGATTTTAGCTGCCTCTATTCTTTTACAGCATTGGTTTGTTGTATTTTCCCTTTAAAGAATGTGATAAAAGCTTTTTATTGGATTAAGGAACTACACAGCTTCTGTATTGCTCACATTCTCATCATTGTAGCCTATCCCTACACACCTTCTGTATTTTCACTTTAGTATGCCATTGTATTCTTTGTTTTTTTAAGTGAGCATGTGGTAGTAGCCTATTTTCTTGAATTTTAATTTGTTTTAAATGCCTATTTGTAGAATTGAGGTTATGTGTGCTAGAATGAACTAAAATCAGCTTTATTGACTTCTTGAATGCTGAATTTGTGTTCCAAATGTTGTTTTCATGACATTTCAGGCCTATTTTTCAAACAAAATTCATTTTGACACTATTTTAAGCATATATTCTTGCTGATTTGAGTATCCAATTGGTCATATATGTTGCACATGTGCTGATTTATTCATTGTTTTTATAAGTACAAAATGTATGGTTTGATTATGCAAAGAGTTGTGTGCTGATGTGGATGCACTTCAAGGTAAATATGCAAGAAAAAACTGATTTGTACTTGCTGATTTTTCAAAAATTCTGCACTATTTTGGTTGAGTATACCTGCTGTTTTTGTCCCTTAGAGTGCTCCATATGCTTGAAATTTGAAATATCATTGCTCTATCTTGATTGGGGACAATACTTTGAAGCATATCATGAGGTTTCTATGCTGATTTTGATGCCTATTGTGCTGATTTTTGAGAAAAATCTGATCTCAAGTGCAATTTGAAAGAAAAAAAACCTGCAATTTTTTATGTCCAAGCTGATTTTATAATTCAAAGATGTTATGTGCTAAGTTCTGAATCCTAATTGTAAAAACTTGCATAGGAACTGATTCAAAAGCACATAGCATGACTTTACATTCATATTTTGATCCATACACGCTGAATTATGTACTAGAAGGGCTAAAGGATCAAGACAATCTGCTTTTGCTTCATATGTTGCATTCTTGAATATGATTTTTGGTTCCTAATTGAGCATCTAGCGTGTGGTGATTCGAGTCCTCAACTCCAACAACATATTCTGTAGCACCTTTGAAGTAATCAACATTTAGTTTAGAAGTGTTTAATCTTCCAGTTACATTTGTGAAGTATAATTGAGGCATTGAACTCCCCTACTGCTGAATACGTTTCATTGAATGTGAAAGACCCGTTCTTCCACTATAGCTCCCCTACGATAAAAATGTTATTCTTCACCCACTCCTTATGAAGTATACAAATCCTTTTCAAGCACAATAAATCAATAATGCTATCACATATATTACCTTCCCTGACCCTCATTTTTTTTTACCCAAATACCCTTCAAAAATTCTGCACTATTTTGGTTGAGTATACCTGCTGTTTTTGTCCCTTAGAGTGCTATATATGCTTGAAATTTGAAATATCATTGCTCTATCTTGATTGGGGACAACACTTTGAAGCATATCATGAGGTTTCTAAGCTGATTTTGATGCCTATTGTGCTGATTTTTGAGAAAATTCTGATCTCAAGTGCAATTTGAAAGAAAAAAAATTTGCAATTTTTTATGTCCAAGGTCATTTTATGTTCCAAAAATGTTATGTGGTAAGTTCTGAATCCTAATTGTTAAAACTTGCATAGGAATTGATTCAAAAGCACATAGCATGACTTTACATTCATATTTTGATCCATACACGCTGAATTATGTACTAGAAGGGCTAAACGATCAAGACAATCTGCTTTTCCTTCATATGTTGCATTCTTGAATTCTAAGCTTAACACTGGTTTCGTCCTAATATTAAGCACGGATGAAACTGACATGTCACTAGGCTGTGGTTGCGAAAAAGACCACCATATTTGCTATTAATATTCTTTTTTAACTTTAAACACTGGTTACTTCATGCTAATCACACTAAGAGTAAGGCACGAAAAGTGTTAAGCACGGATGAATCGGAAATCTAACTAGGGTGTGGTGATTCAAGTCCTCAACTCCAACAACATATTCTGTAGCACCTTTGAAGTAATCAACATTTAGTTTAGAGGTTTTTAATCTTCCAGTTACATTTATGAAGTATAATTGAGGCATTGAACTCCCCTACTGCTGAATACGCTTCATTGAATGTGAAACACCCGTTCTTCCACTATAGCTCCCCTACGATAAAAATGTTATTCTTCACCCACTCCTTATGAAGTATACAAATCCTTTTCAACCACAATAAATCAATAATGTAATCACATATGTTACCTTCCCTGACCCTCATTTTTTTACCAAAACACAGTTCCTTGCATCAATTCCTGCCCAGACATTAATCACATTGCAGTTCCCATAAATTTCTTATATCAATTTCTATACCAGTCACCTCTAAGCTCAGGTACGTATGTATTCTGCCGCACATATAATCCTCCCTGTCGCTCATTCAGTTTCCTCCCTCGCATTCTGCTTCATCTCATGCACGTTTCCTGCCAGTCTCTATCTCCTCTCGCCCCTTGTTTACATATTCATAGTCTTATGTGTAAAAACCCTTCAGCTTTAACTATGAGAATTAGGTTGAAAATAACTCGGGTGATACACCTTAAGACCTGGTTGTATGCATATATGACATGCACAAGAGATTCCTTCTAGGGATAGAAATCAGTCTGATCCAGATTCCAGGAAAACGTATTTTACATGTAATTATCAGTTTAATTAAAAATGTTACTAATACAAACAGAATATCATAGATTCCTATAATTAACCATCCATATTACTTACCACCCATCTTGGACGCAGGGATTTTAATTACTCTATGAAATAAATTGCATTCATGATAATTAACTACACCACACATAATTACCAGAATAAATATGAGACTTAAATACACCATAAATGCAGAAGCAACCCACCTCTGAGCATATGAAAGGACAATATGCAACAACTAGGCATTCTCTTATAAATACTATATTATGACTACATAATCAAACACCCAAACTTAGTCACTATATGGATATGAATATAAGCATCCATGAACAGGAAAGTTCTACAAATAAAGTCACTTACGAAGGACAAACCGAACTCCAAACTCGCTGAGACCATTCTCTCAGGCCTAATAACGATGCTGGACATAGAGAATTGTTTGGTGAAAACATTCCGAATGGTACGTGACAGAATGAAAGAAAGTGAATAATTGAAACCCACGGAGCATACTGTTCTTTATTTTTATTAAAACACAACCAAAAACGTGATAATTGGATCTCACGGAGCATACTAAGCGTAATAGGTTGTGAATATTATTACGAATCTAGATTGTGTGTAAATCATTTATAATTCCTCATTATTGAATTATGATTCCAAAGGAAATTCTACAACCCATACAAAATTCCTTCCGCAATACACGCAATAACTAATCTGCATACAAATAACACGTGGATAAATCCCCAGCCCGTGCGAAGCACAGGGTAGACAACTAGTATATATGTAAAGGAGAGTTCATTAGTTGTAGTGGAGACATGTGGCGTATGACATGGCAAAATTTATATCTACATGGCATAGTGTCATCATTTTATTGGTCCACATGGCATTTATTAGTTTATTTTTTATTTAAAAGATTGTTCATGATTATTTTTTTTAATTACCATAAACTTCTATTTATAATACTTTTCATATTCTAATTATTATATATATTAATATGTCCTTCATCATTTTAAAATATATTTTAATATCTTATAATTAATTAATTACTTTTTCAAAGGTTATATAAACTTTATTAATTTTTTTAAAAGACAACTGCTTGTATAAATTTTTACACCATTTTCCCATGATAAGTGTAATAAATATGAAAGTTTATATTATAAAGAGTAAGATTTCAGTGTATAAAAGTTGTCTAAAATTCGTATTAAAACTTCAAACTTTTCCTTTGAAATTTTAAACAAATTTTTCTATCAAAATTATAAATTTGATTAGTGAAGTGAAATGATAATTATATCTCCAAAAAAGAAATGTTTATGTAAGTCATTTACAAATAATTAATGTATTATCCTTCATATGTACATGCGTGTATATTATTTATGTATTCTATCAATAGGCAATGCGATAGAACAACTTTAATTCTAATTCACTTTATTATTTAATCTAGGTTTATATTTTAATATAATAACAAATTTATAGATATATTTTACAGAAAAATATGCGAGCCCGTGCAAAGCACGGGGCAAAAACTAGTGGGTATTAAAACGGAGTTGATGCCCAAAAATCCTGGAAAAAATGAGAAATTACCAATGGCATCTTGTAACTTATTGTTAAAAAAAGATTCTTTGCTCATCTTTATTTGGCATGAAATTACCTAAAGGTTTTTCTTCTAACGTCAAAAGTCTCGTATCGATGGAAAATCTTCAAGTTGTCGGGATGAAGTCTCATGATTGTCATAAAATATATCATCACTTGCTCCCCATTGCAATACGACCAGTGCTACAAAAAGATGTGCGGTCCACTATTATTAGGTTTTGCCTCTTCTTCAACGCAATTTGCAGCAAAGTCATTGAGGTCGATAAATTGGAAAAAATGCAATCCCAGTTGGTAGAGACTTTATGTTTGCTTGAAAAACATTTCCCTCCTTTCTTTGATATAATGGTCCATCTCTCAATTCATCATGTTCGAGAAGTCGAGCTTTGTGGGCCAGTTTTGCTACGTTGGAGGTATCCTTTTGACAAAGAAATGAAGACATTCAAAGGTTATGTATGCAATCGTACTTATCCTGAAGGTTCCATTGCGGAAGCATATATTATAGAGGAGGCAAATGAGTGTTTAGTGAGTTTTGAAGAATCTAAAGTAGGATTGCCAAAGAGTGTCCAGGATGCACAATCTAGACCCCTGTCTGGTGCGACGATGATAACACCAACCAATAATGACTCGCACCTTGCACATTTATGTTATATTTTTTACGGTTACTTGGCTTTCATTCTTCTTTAGGATATTATTAAAGAATATGATTTTTCAGTGAACATATGGCTGCCTTGGTGAAAACGTATCCACAACATTGCAATGATGAGGAGTGGCTCAAGAACAAGCAAAATGAAACTTTCCTTGGCTGGTTTTGTAGATAAGTAAGTACTTCAAATCTGTCATCCTATATTATTTGTGTAGATTGTTGAATAATATAGCAATATTTGAAGTTAATGTACTTGTGGTACTTCGTTTGGACAAATTTCAATAGACTTGCTTGTGGAGATCGAATAATACGGTATCAACAGAGATAATGTGCTGCACTCTCAACAGAATATGAAGAAGGTACGGAAGACGATAAATAGATATCTTGAGAAGAAGGAGATTAATGCAATGATGTTCATCAAATGCCACAATTACAGGACATGCATAGACACGAAACATATAGATCGTTGCAACCGGCATTTCACGTCCCAATGATTGAGGTTGAAAACAAGTATCCTTCTTTCCAAAGTCTACAAAAAGCTGTGTCATTACGGACATTGCGGAGCACAAACAGTTTCACACAAAAGCAAGACGGAGCTATTATTGGAGAGAGACTTGTGTATATATATATGCCCCCCAATGCACTTGGTTCATACAAGCAGCAGAGAATGCTGGGAGTACTATATGGACCATAAAACAATATCAGAGGTATCACCAGTGTAGACGAATTGTTAACCAGTGAGCCTATAAGTGCCCTGATTAGTCCAAAAATTGAAGAAGATGCCGGTTATAAGGTGAAACTCATAATGAGGGATGTTTATGAGTTGTTCCAAGTATCTATCTCCTATAAGAAGGCGTGGTGTGCAAGGTCATTGGCCATTCAGCGATTGTACGACAGTTGGGATCGGAGGGCTCATACAACAAGCTGGATCCTTTGCTCCCTGCAGTTTTGGGATCAAACTATGGGAGAATTGTGGATTTGCAAACACAACCTACAAATTCACCGACTACATTTGAGTACGGGTATGTTTTCTGGACCTTCAAGGCATCCATCGATGACTTTCACTATTATCTTCCAGTTGTTTCAGTGGATGGAACTCACTTATACTGTAAGTATAAGGGAATTGAAGTGTATTAATTGTCGTGGCAATAACGGGAAATGGTGACATTTTTCCCTTGGCTTTTTTCATTGTAGATGTTGAGGATGGTGCAAGTTGGAAGTGGTTCATGACAAATATTATGCGACATGTCGTGCCTCCACACTGCCATATATATATATATATATATATATATATATATATATATATATATATATATATTATTGAAAAGGAAATTTTATTAATAAAAGAAAAGGATACAAGGTGGGGGTGGCCAGCAGCCCCTACAAAAAGGCCGAAAGGAGGAAATACAAAAATTGCCAGCTCCTAAACTGCCAGATCCAAAAAACGCCAAAAGTGAAACAACAAGAGAAGAAATACAATAAAATGCCAGCTCCTAATGAGAGTAAAAGTTGTCCGTCCTTAGTTACTTGGTATCCTGGTCTGGCTGGAGAATGATGTCTTGCGTCCCTACCAGCATGCTCTTGTTGCATACAAAAGAGAACTACAAAGGCTATGTATCAAGAGGCTGAAATGGGCTCCATATGCCTTATCCTGAGCTTAAAGGTCCCTTTAACCCATATGTTTGACCTCAAATGAAGACACACCATAATCTATTCCCTCCCTAATCTAGCAACTCCATCTAGGCATAAGACAATCCTTCCCCCGTACGAGCAAAATGGAATAGAGAAAGCCCAGTTATGCTGACAGACTAGTAAACAAGCCAGAATATTCACCTTGTTGTAGAAAAACCCAGCACTACCAGACTATGAAACCTTCCTGCCTTTAAACTATTTGCAAGTTAATGAGCCTATAGGATATTCTAAAGCCCAAACAGTNACTAAAAACCGGAAAAGAACTAAACCCAGATAAGCTGAAAAGCAGAAGAAATAAATCCTTGCCCATATTGAGAGTCAGTCATTCCAGCATTCCACATAGATGATTGAGAACGGCTACCATATCCTCGTTGGCATAAGCAAGGTAGACTGGGTATTTCGCTCCTTGAACTACTGCCGCATCTATGTATTCAAAGCTCTTCATTGTCTCTCTAGTAACCCGAACGACTTCCTATGAGTAACCGAGTATCTGTCCCTTGTTTAGAGCATGTAAGAACTTTGTGTTAGCCATGGATTTCCTGAAGAGGTTGAGGTTGTCCTTAATTACTTGATCAAACTGCTTCATACTCTCCTGGTCTATTTTTTCATCTGTGGAGTGTGATTGAGTTCTTTCGAACTCCAATTTCAGTGCTGAATCCATGAAAGCCTTATTCGCAGATTCCGTCTGTCCTTCCTCTTCTCTGTCATAAAGCCTCTCACTTTGCGCGCATCTCCATCCTTCATCCCTGTCTATTTTAGCAATCCCGGATATTCTAGTAGTTCCATTTAGAAGTGGCGGTTGGCAACTCTCCAAAATCCTATCTTCTGATGCCCTAAGAAATTGAGCTAAACCTGTGCTAAAGAGCCTAATTCCAGATAAGTAGAAACCAACAGGTATGAAAATGTGAGAGCTCCCTTTATTAGAAAGTCTAGCATAATGTCCAAACCTATTTGATTCCCATACCACTTTGAGGGAAGAATCTCCATCATAACAAGTGATTTCCCAAGATTCTTCTGAGTAATCCGGCCTTCTTAGGATGTCAATCAAACGTGTGGCTAAAATCCTTGAAATGGATAGAATACGGATCTTACCGGATTTTGATTCGGAAATACCGATGCACTGCCCATCTGCTGAGATCACAAAATCTTTGCTTTCAATTGATAAAAAAATCTGACTGGCTTCGTTACTGAAAGGCCCTGAGCTCTGTCTCCTCCACCTTCTCTGTGGTTTGCGAGCTGAAGGATAAAACTTGGGACGATAAGATTCAGGGTACCAAGGTCGTCGATTCCCATAACCTGGAGATTTCCTTATGTACAGTGGTCTTCCCCTCCTGTCTTCATCGGAATTCAGTCGCCGCCAGTGGGCGGCGTTTCCCCTTCTCTCTCCGAACCCTTCCATCATATATATATATATATATATATATATATATATATATATTAAAGGGTTTTATTAAAAAAGAGAAGAAAAAGTACACAAGGCTTGGGTGGCCAACCCCGACAAAAGGCCAGTACAGAAAAGTAAATGCAAAGTCCAATAGGGTCTAAACAAAGGGAGGGGGACACAGCACAAGTGACAACCCCAAAACGTCTTCTTCTTCTGTACCCAAAATTCACTAACAGCGTGTAGGACCCTAAGCCACAGTGGTTGTCTTTCCAGTAGCAATTGAACTAGCAGAGGGAACCTTCGCATGGCAGCCTTGAAACGCATACCTCAATAATGTAGATATCCTCCCAGAGAAGTTATGAGAGAGCTCCCAAGCGCAAGAGAAAAATCCACCTAAATGAGTCTACAGCCTTCAAATAATGCAGGACTATGCTATACCAACAGTCTGGTAACAAGATACCAGGAAAAACCATCGAGTTGGAGAAACCCAAACTCTTAGCTAGTTCTGACCATAAGACCATCCTCTAGCATAATACTTCAATTATTCCCTGCAAAACTATACCAGCACAGAGCAAGCCAATACCTAAAAATGGCAGTTCCCAAACGAGAAAAAGAAAAATCCAAGTTAACCATTCAAGTGCCTGTGATGCGGGATCAATCAGAATCTTCCTTTACCTGCCCTCCTGCCATTTTCTTCTTAAGTTTCTTTTTTGATTTTTTCTTTTGGCTCTTGGTTAAAGGCTTATTTCTGGACTGCATATTGGATTCTTTTTCTAGTTTGTTTGGACAGAAATCCCTGAAAAAAATCCTTAGGTCTTCTGCAAAATTAATCTCTGAACCATCTGACCTTTCCTCCCATCCAAGTGGTGATTTCTTTCTTCCTTCTTTCAAAATCTTTGCCCTACTTCGTGTTACTATTTGAGATGGAGAGTAGATGCATCTGCCCTTGAATTCTCTCCCCAAATCGAAAGGAGTTTTGAACATCTGGGAGTAATCTATTTGAAGAGGTTTGAGTATGTTGTCATTGAAGACCTTGTCTTCTCCTTCTGAGTGCGTATATAGAATAGGTCACTCTCTTTCTTCCCTGATGTCTTCTAGTGCATTGTTACTGAGAACCAAGTTTCCATCTTCAAACTTGTCAAATTCATCATCCTCCTTGAGTGGGATGCCATCTTCCAGGTTTTCAAAGAGAGCTGCATAAGTGTTGGGCTTAAGTGGAATGAACTCCGCAGCAAAAGGGGATAGGCGTACTCTTGGAAGCTGGGGGTATTGAATATTGTACAATGAAGGGGACTCTTCCTGAGCAATGTATGCCTTATGCTTATGCAAATCCAGTTCAGAAATTTCCACCGAGCACTCAGTCTGATTTATGTTTCCCAGTTGTAGATCCTGCCCTTCCAAAAGGTGTACTCTTAAGTCATGGTTCTCAAGATTCAGAAACTTCTCATCACACTTTTGGAGTGAATCTATCACCTCCTGTGGTAGATCCTTTTTGGATTGGGAATCAGACAGTGGATCCCCTACCCCGATGTTGTTTAGATTAGGGCTTAACTCATGATTGTTCAAATGTTGAGTAGGAATCTCTCCACTAGAGTGCACTGGACCAGACTCATTCTCTCTCAAGGAAGCCACTGTTCCTGATTCTCCTATTGCTGCCTCAAACTCCCCAAGCCCCTTAACCTTGTCTAGACACTGTGCTCGCTCAACGAAGCACAAAAGAGCCTTAAGGAACTGATTAGACCCATCATTATGAACTCCAAACGGGATATGAATGAATCTGTTACCTTCTTTTCTAGCTTCCAAGATGCGAATAGAATCCCCCCTCCTATCAGAGTCAACGGCAATTTCAAGTGTTCTCTTAAAATCTAGTTTAACACAAGCCCAAGTAGAGCCGGAAATCAGTCTAGGTAGAGATTGCAGGACCCAATTGAGTGAATCAGAGTCAAACCATAAATGGAAGTTTCTTCTCCCCCTATCCGTAATACAAAAGACCTTATTGTAGAAAGAGTAAAAAAGCTCAAATACCTTATTAAGAATTTTGAAATTGAATCTAATGTTCTTGCTAGGCCATGAAGTGGAGTTCTCTTTCTGACCTTGAACGATTATTCTCTGTTCTGAAAGCACATATGAATTCTTCAGGTCCTCGGGGGATTTGAATGGCCAACTATAGTCTCGTCTGTGAAGCTTCGATGTTTTGTGGTTGTGAAAAGCGCTATGGGTGCTGATTCTTTTGATGAAACCAGATCTGTTGGTTGAATTGGAATAAGATTGACGATGCCGGACAGGAGCATCTCTATACACGCTTGATTGAATTCTGAAGCCATAGATTGGCCGTTGATAAACCGGAGGAATATTGATGCGTCGACGACGACCGCTGAAATCGCAGGAGCTTTCTCGCTCTAAAAACCTGGCCATCTATTATATATATATATATATATATATATGGGATTGACTCCAGTGAGATGACACTTTATGGTGAGATGACATGCTTCGGTGAGATGACGCAAAGCTCACCACATTACACTGCAAAGCTCACCAATGGCCAATGTAAAGCTCACCTGAAAATAAGGCAAAGCTCACCATTTTGAATACCAAAACTCACCTTTTTTTTATTTTGAAAATTAAAAAATTAATAAAAAATAAAATAGCAACACCGGTCAACCACCGGTCAGTGGCGGCGGCGGCGGTGGTCGCCGGCGGCTGGCGGCGGCGGAGGTCAGCGGCAGCGGCAGAGGCGGTCGCAAGCGACCTGCGGCGGTCGGCGGCGGCGGCGGAGGTCAGCGGCCGGCGGCGGCGGCCGGAGGTCGGCGGCCGGCGGCGGCAGCCGGAGGTCGGCGGCGGCAGGGGGTCGCCGGTGATGGTCAACGGTCAATGGTCAAAGTCCAGTCAGCATCACTTCCTTTGATTTTTTTTTCAAAAAAAATTCAAAGTGTTGAAAAAATATGGTGAGCTTTGCCTTACACTTTGGTGAGCTTTGTAGTTGTCCTTGGTGAGCTTTGCAGTGGGCAGTGGTGAGCTTTGTGTCATCTGACCGTAGCATGTCATCTCACCGTAAGGTGTCATCTGACTGGAGTCAATCCCATATATATATTGATAGTGTAAATATAGCTGGGCGGGTTAACCGGGTTTAACCTGGACACTTAACCCGTAATATAAAACACATAACAAGAACACAAAGTATGACCTAGACCGGGTAAATCTCCTCGGTCCGAAATATATTTCTTACTCTGTCTCAAGAGTGTACTAGTTTTTAGTGAGAGAAAGAATTGCCCCTCCTCTATCCAATATCATCATATTTATAGAGGAGGATTTGTGACCTTCCCCTGTTCATCCTTGGACAAAATAGGAAGCCCGTGGGAAGGTCACTATACATAATTAATCTACTATTCAATCAATGAATTTAGCAACTACAAGCCAAGACATGTACTGTTCAATCAAAGACTATTAAAGGATATTCTCAATCCAATCAGCCCTGCAAAGTGACAAATGTTCCTTTCACTGTTTATCTCGTGATGGACGAACGGCGGGGTGGTCCCTCGTGGTTCACCATGCCTGAGATACTGCACCAATGTTTGTCAAGTAAGATAATATGACCGGTCACCTTTTTGTTCAAAGGTTGACCGGTCATTTATTGAGCTCAGCCCAGAACTTTGGTCTTCTTGGATTCTTCGCAACATTAGGTGATATTTTGGCTATCGCCCAAAATGTGACCGGTCACTTTTTTAGTGGAAGTGACCGGTCATTTTTTGACCCGTCCCAATCGAAGAGTTATCATCATCTGGTGACTTGATAAAAGTGACCGGTCATATTTCGACCTGTCCCTTTTGGTTATCCAGGTCGGGTATAAGGATATACCCATCAAGAAGTCCTCCACTTACCGGCCTTGTGAGGAAATCATCAAGGGCGGGAAGTATACTTATGTTGACCTATCATACTTTGAAATCATCAAGTCACCTCTGCTGACCAGTCCTTTCTTGTCGCCTAGTCTCTCTCGTGACCTGTCCTTTTGAATCATCAAGCCTTTCCATATAAGACCTGTCCTTCTTTGGAATCATCAAGTCATTCTCGTTGACCTGTCTTTTTGAATCATCAAACCTTTCTCTTTCAAGACCTGTCTTTCTTTGGATTGCCAAGCCTTTCTTTTTCAAGACCTGTCCTTCTTTGAATTATCAAGCCTTTTCATTTCAAGACCTATCCTTCTTTAAATTCATAAAGGCTTTCTTGTTGACCTGTCCTTTTAGACCTGTCGCTTTTGTAATTATCAAACCTTTCCGTTATGACCTGTCTATTTCTTGGATTCACCGTCTTCAAACCAGACCTGGCACTTTTGGATTTGTAGACTACGCTGCATGACCTGTCCGTTTGGATTTGTGGGAGTCCAAACGTTGAGCCTGGCCTTTTAGTTTTGGAATTTCCCCCCAAAACCTCTCACCTTCCACATTCAAATTTCAAATTCCCCCCCTTTAATCATTACCTTTTCCACGTGTCAGGCTCTCATTTCCCCACCTGTCGCCTCGAATTCCAACCCTCCTCTCTCTCTCCTATAAATACTCCTCCAACCCATCTCATTTCTTCACTTCGCTCCTTCGGTTCTCTTGATTTGCCCGGTCTACTTTCTCTCTCTAGCTTCCTACCAAGTAAGTCCTTCAGTCCTCCTAGTCTTTTATTTCTTTCATCTTTCAATTTTTGACCGGTTAGGATATTACCATGTCTTCCTCTGACTCACAAAATGTATCCGGTCAATCTTATGGATCGGGTTCTCAACCCTCTTCCTCTAACCAATCTGAGTCTTCTTCTCCCCCTGTCACTCCTTTAATTCGCCGCCCCTCTAACCAGTCTAGCTCTCAGGCCCGGGATATAGTTGCCCAGGAGCCTATCCCTCTGAACCAACTACCCGGTCGGTTCAATCCCAAGGTCCTCAGTTGGGACCAATGGGAAGAACGATTGGGGTCATTGGGTTATCTAGCCCTTGACTCAGGACCGGTCTTCAAAGAGTCTTCTAGGGTTACAAAGAAGGTCCTGGCTGAGGTGCGCTCTGTCCTTCCACCGGGCTATAAAGTCCTCTCTAAAACCACCTGGCCCAATATTATTGAACCCCATAAAGGAACCCGGTTGGGTTTCCACGTAGCTTCTCTAGAGGGCAGCATTATTTTTCCTCTTCGTCCCCTCCTTATCGAAATCTGTAACAAGTTCCATATTTTGCCCGGTCAATTAACTCCCAATGCTCACCGGTTCATAAATTGTTTTGTGAATATTTGTGAATCTCTGAATATCAATCCCTCTCTTGACCTCTTTCTTCATATGTACGACGTCTTGCCCGGGACTAGCAACTGCCCGGGCTATATTTATCTCCATTCTCGAGCCTCCTCTAGAGGGTTTATAACCGGGCTTCCCCCCAGCCACAAGAAATGGAAAAAGAGATTCGTCTTCATTGAATATCCCCCTGACCAATTCCCTTTCACTAACCCTGAGTGGGCTGACCGGGTTATAAAACCTGAAAGGGGTTCACCCGGAGCCCACCAAAGAACTTGAGGACGCAAGTAAGAAACTTCTCAAGGGTGATCCTGTGACTGGGAAACCATACGTTTATGGGGGCTGGGTGTACCGGTTACAAAATCCGGATGGGGGTGTATCTGCGACCCATGATGCAGAAGATGACCGGGCCAACGTCCCGGATGATCATGCTGAGGCCAGTTCTCCTCATCCAGGTCGATCATCCTCTCTCAAGCTTCTTACTTTCACTTTCTTTATTTATGTATAAGGTTTAAAACGTGACCGGTCATTGGTTACTTTGTTCTTTTTTGGCAGACATGAACTTCAACAGGATGAACACCATCCTCGAGGATGACGATGATGACGTCCAAGTCCTCCACTTCAACCGGTCTCCTGACAACAACCCTACTTCTCCCCCTCAAAACACTGGGATGGAAGGGGCTACATCTGCCCGGTGTACATCCCTTGACGATCTCATCCGAGATAAGAAGGTGAAGTCCCCTTTGGCAGCCCATCTCTTCGAAGATGACCGGGTCCCTTCTCCAAAGAAGGACGTCAAGGTCCTTTAAAGTCCCCTTTGAAAATGTCTAGGTCTGATTGGCTTGGTTGACAATTTCTTGAGTATGTTTGCTTCCAAGTCAATAGAAGCAACCGGTCTTCTTGGTTTGGTCGAAATCGTCTAGGTCCTTTAATGTCCTGGTCAATTTTATCTCTTGAAAATGTCCAGGTCTTGTAATCTTGGAAACGTCTAGGTCCGGGGCACCTCGTGCCTGACTCATAATTTAGACCGGCTTATATCTAGGTTGAACTGCAACAAACGTCCAGGTCACCTCATTCATGGTGTAGTAGGCTAGGTTGAAACTTTTGAATAGCACTTTGGATGCAAGGCTTGAATACTTCCAGGTCATCTCATGTCCTGGTCTCTTGTCTTGAAAAGCGTCTAGATTACTTCCAGGTTGAAATGCAACAACTTTCCAGGTTGGATTTGTCCTGGTCCAGCTGTAATGGTTTGGTTGCGCTACATGACCGGTACGACGTCAGAATTTCTGTCCAGGTGCTGGGTCAAAAATGTGACCGGTCAAAAATGAAGTTTTCCATATTTTCCTGGTTTGCTCAAATCCAACCCGAAAAAAGTGACCGGTCACTTTTCTCAAAGTTGACCGGTCAAAAAATATTTTTTCCCATTCGCATTTTCTTGCCAATCCAGAACATCAAAAAGCGACCGATCACTTTTGACCATGCCCCTTTCCTTTATCCTTTTGGCCTGGATGTCATGCCTAACGGCAACCTTGCTCAAATTTCGAACGAATAATCCGAAACAATTTTGAAATCATCAAGTCTCAACATCAAGACCCGGACTTTCTTCGGAGATTTTGACCATGTCCTATGATCGCGAACCCTCTCCAAGGTTCAGCCCTCTTCCAGGCAACACCCTTCTTCCAGGGCCCCTCTTCCAGGTTTTAAGTCTTTTAATGTGCCATTCTTTAATTACTAGGTTGACCTAGCCAACCCAATCTTCCCTCGTGGGGCCGGGGTATGCCGGTGAGAACCAGCCCTCATCCAATCTTACATGTCCATATGTTATGCGTTCGAAGTGAATTCTAGTCTTCCCTAGACCCTTCAATCCGCAAAGGATGGCTCATGCAAGACGGCAATCGTTTTTTTTTATTTTGGCATCTTTTAGCCCCTAACCAAATGAAAATTTGGTAGGGATCCATGTAAGTATGGACGCGAGTCCTCTTCCAGACCCAGCCTATCTCAAAGCTATACCTCAACATCAAGGCCCCTATCTCAAGGGTTTATCTTTTTTTTTTTTTTTTTGAAATTTTGACCTTGCCACTTACATCAAGACAAGTTATTTTTGCATCACTGACCCAACATCACTTGTGTTGAAGAAATCTTTTATTCATCATTGAAGGGGTATTACAAATGCAAGCCTTGCAAATTTGGCCTATCGGTAGAATTTTCTAAGGTGGTGAGAATTCCAGCACCTTTCCAACTCTCGACCTTCCATTGTTTCTAGCTTGTATGTCCCTGGGCGTAGTATCGCCGTGACCCTATATGGACCTTCCCATTTCTTTGCGAGTTTTCCTCCTGGTTTGCTGGCCTCCCTTCGTCTCAGGACTTCATCACCAACCTGGAAATAGTGAGGCCCTACCTTGTTATCATGGTAGGCCTTGGCTGCTTGCTGGTACTCTATCATTTTAGCCTCAGCAACCATCCTCCTTTCCTCCAGCAAGTTCAATTCCGCCAAGTGATCTTCCTCATTCCCTTTCTCCTCATAGATCTTTTCCCGGAAGGTCATTATTTTTGCTTCAATGGGTAGTCTAGCCTCGCATCCATATGTTAGGACGAAAGGTGTCTCTCCTGTAGCCCTTCTCGAAGTGACCCGGTACGCCCAGATGATATGTGGCAGCTCCTCTAGCCAATTTGTTCCGGCCTCACCCAACCGCTTCTTGATCCCGTCCATTATTGTGCGGTTCGCATTTTCCACCTGGCCATTCCCTTGCGGGTAGGCCACGGAAGCCTTGTTGTGAGTAATTCCAAAGTCCTCCAAGTATTTGGTGAACCCTGGATTCCGAAATTGAGGCCCGTTATCCATCACAATGTTTCGAGGAGACCCAAACCGGGTGATTATATTCTTCCAGACAAAGCGCTGGCACTGCTTGGTTGTGATGGTTGCATATGCCTCGGCCTCCACCCATTTTGTGAAGTAGTCGATAGCAACCATTACATACTTCTTCCTCCCTTGAGCTTGAGGGAAGGCTCCAATGATGTCCATCCCAAACCTTGCGAATGGAATAACATTGGAAACTGGGTGGTAGTATGTCGCAGGCCTTCCCGGAAACTTGTAGAAGACCTGGCAGGTCTTGCACCTCTGGACATATCTTTCGCAATCCTGGTTCATTGTAGGCCAAAAATAACCTAGCAAAATAATCCTTTGGGCGAGTGTCCTGGACATTTGGTGGGCTGCACAGACACCTTCATGAACTTCGGCGATCACTCTTTCCGCCTCTGCCCTGGTCAAGCATCTCAGCAGTGGACCACCGAATGCTCTTTTGTATAACCTTCCATCAAGCATTTGGAATCTTAGAGCCCTTAACTTTATTTTTCTTACCCTGTCCTCATGGTCAGGGAATTGCCCGGTCATGTAATACTTGATCAAGTCATCCATCCAAATATCATCTGCCTCCACCAGGCCCGGATTGGGCTGTCCATCCTCCTCTATCAGGATAACATCAAGCCCTTCATTGCTAGCCTTTTCCAGCGTCTCAATCCTGGCCAACTTGGACACATGCTCTGGGCTGCCTGCGTCAATTTTGATAGCAAGTCAGCATCGGTGTTCTCGCCCCTAGGGATTTGTTCCATCACATGCTCAGTCGAGTCCTTCAACAATGCCCTTGCCAAGTCCCTGTATTTTTGCATTTTTTCTCCTTTTGCTTCCATACTGCCATTGATATGGCCTACCACCAGGCTTGAATCGGATTTGATTCTGAGGCATGTGATTTGTAGGGTTTTGGCCAATCTCAGACCCCCTATCAGCGCCTCATACTCAGCCTCATTGTTTGTGAGCTTGAAATTAAAGATCAAGGCATGATATACCTTGAACCCTTCCGGAGTTGTGAATACCACACCTCCCCCGTAACCTTTTGGTCCAGAGGCTCCATCTACTGACATGGACCACCATGGCTCTGTGATAGCCCTGGCCAGTTCTTCTTCCTGGTGACCCGTCATCTCTACAAGAAAGTCGGCCACAGCCTGTCCTTTTATCGCCGTCCTCGGACGATATTCGATGTTGAATTGAGTCAACATCATGGCCCATTTGATCATTCTTCCGGATGAAGTGGAGTCCCTCATGACCGTGCCCAATGGTAGGTCGGTCAACACAACGATGGGGTGGGCCTGGAAGTACGATGTGAGTTTCTTCGCTGTTATGAAAAGTGCATACCCTGCTTTCTCCGTAGGAGTGTACCTACTTTCCGCTCCATTTAAGGCCTTGCTTACATAATAGATGGGCCTCTAGACCCCATCATCCCTCATCAAGACCGAGCTAACGGCCATTCGGGTCACCCCCAGGTAGAGATATAGGGTCTCCTTCGTTTCTTGCTTGGACAGGACAATGTCCGAAGTTAGGTATGTTTTTAGCTCCTCGAATGCCCTGGCGCATTCCTCATCCCATTGGAAGGTATTGGCTTTCTTTAAAACCTTAAAGAAAGGTAATGCCTTCTCTGCCGATCTGGATAAAAACCGGTTTAAGGCCGCCAAGCGCCCTGTCAACCGCTGGACATCCCTTACCGATGTTGGAGGTTGCATCTCCACAATAGCCTTGATCTTCTCGGGATTTGGCTCAATCCCCCTCTTTGTTACCATGAAGCCCAGGAACTTCCCCGTCCTTACAGCAAAAACACATTTCTTTGGGTTAAGTCTCAGATTATGCCTAGCCATAATCTCAAAACATTTTTCCAGGTCTTGAGCGTGCGTGCTAGCTGTCCTGCTCTTCACTAGCATATCATCTACATAGGCTTCCATGGTCCGTCCAAGCAAAGGCCTGAACAATTTGTTAACCATCCTCTGGTAGGTCGCCCCTGAGTTTTTCAACCCAAAGGCCATCACCCTGTAACAGTATGTGCCGTCCGGAGTGAGGAAGGCCGTCTTCTCCTCATCATCCTCTGCTATGAAGATTTGGTGATACCCCTTGAAGGCATCCATGAAACTAAGTAGCTCACACCCTGCGGTTTCATCAACCATTTGGTCCGGGCTGGGGAAGGGATAAGAATCCATTGGACATGCCATGTTGAGGTCCGTGTAGTCCATGCACATCCTCCAGGTATCACCCTTCGGAGCTAGGACTACATTGGCCAGCCATTCAGGGTAGTTTACTTCCCTTATATGACCTACCTGAAGTAGGTCCTTGACCTCCTTCTTCACAAAGTCTCTCCTTTCACTTGCCAAGAATCTCTTCTTCTGTCTTACAGGCCTAGACCCCTCAAGAACAGAGAGACGATGGCAAATGACTGACCGGTCAATTCCGGGCATATCAGCAACACTCCAGGCAAACAAAGATTTATACCTGGTCAGCACCTGGACAATCTCAGTCCTTAGCTCCTCTTGAAGATCAGCCCCAATCTTGACCTTCCTCTCAGAGTTGGAGGAATCAATCTGGATCTCCTTTGTGTTTGCATCCGGCTCGATCCTAGCCTTCTCCTCACCCTTATCTACCTGCTGGGAGACCAGTTCAATTTGTTCAAACTGGCGGGTCATCTTCTTGACCGCTTCTAGGTAACAGGACCAGGCATTCTTTTGATCACCCCTTTCCTCCCCAATTCCATTAGGAGTGTAAAACTTCATGCATAAGTGTGCCATGGAAATAATGGCCCTAACCTGGTTGATTCCAGGCCTACCCAGAATGGCATTATGCACACATTTGATGTCGACCACAACAAATCTCATTTGTTTGGTCACTGTCCTGTTACCCGACCCCAAGGTAACCGGTAAGGTTATCTGACCTTCCGCTTCTATGCTAGCTCTAGTGAAGCCTGATAATGGAGTTTGCAATGGTTTCAACATGGACCTGTCCAGCTTCAACTTCTTGAAAGCGTCCAAGTATAAGACATTGACACTACTTCCTGTGTCAACCAGGACCCTGGCCACATCAGCCCCATTGATGTCCATTGTAATGACCAAAGGGTCATTATGATCTCCCCCCGTCCTGGGCAGATCCCTATCAGTAAAAGTGATAGGTTCCCTCCTTGCCTGCTTCCCTTGTGATTCTAGGGAAACCACCGACACATGTAAACTCCTGGCCCAGTTCTTCCGCTGGGAGGCAGTGTCCCCGCCTTCTGGGCCGCCAACAATCATCTCAATGAATTCTTTATCTGGGTTGTTGTTATCCTTCCCGGATTTTCTCCTTCCTTGATCTTTCCCTTGAGGACGAGTCCAGGTGTTCGCTTTCGGGTCTTTTTTATTCCCCGTTGCGTAACCTTCCCCAAGCTCTCCCTTCAAGGCCATTTCCTTGAGTACAGCCTTGACATTTCGGCAATCCGCCGTATTGTGAGAGTCGGATTGGTGGTAGGTACACCATTTCTCCGTCCATGGCCTCTTAGGTTGCTCTCCCTTCTTCTCATCCCTTATTTGATGGACGGATCCGTCATACGTGGCCCTTGGCTTGGGCCCTCCCGTCTGGTCATCCTTCTTTGGCTTGTCGGATTTCACCTTTGTGTAGCCTTCCTCCAGCTCCCGCTTGCTCTTGTTCAGAACCTCCGCCTCGGCATACTCCCATGCCGTATTGTAGGCTTCCTGATAAGAGGAGGGTGGCCTTCTACAGAATTCAGTGTAGAGGTCACCCGACCGGAAGGCATTCATTAGTAAAGACATGGCCGTCTTATCGTCCATCTCCTCTACTTTGTCAACCTCGTCCCTCGAGCGGGTTAAGAATTGAGTCAAGGACTCCTTCTCCCTCTGCCCTACCGTGTTAAGGTAGGTGAACTTCTTCCTCTTGATGCAGTTGTCCTGGTACTTTTTGCGGAAAACTTCGGCAAGTTTTTCAAAGGACCCAATCCTGCCATGGGGAAGGCCGTTAAACCATTCCACTGGCCTCCCTCTTAAGGATGAGAAGAAGAGCAAGCATTCCTCGGCATCAGTGCACCCGGCCATCTGTGCTGCATTGTGGAAGGTGTCAAGGTGGACATTTGGATCTTCCTTTCCCGTGAACTTCTCCACGTCCAGCTTGATCTTCCGCCTCAGTTTTTGTGCATGCACCCTGGCTGAAAAGGGAGATTTGGCCAGGGTGTACTTCTGTGCTCCTGCCTTCTCTTCTACCTTTTCCTCCAAGGCTCGTAGCTTTCTTGCTACCCTCCCTATCCTGTCCAGGTCGTCCTCGTCGTATGAGAGCCTGGTATATGCCGACGCCCTGGGCTGGCTTTCAGCTTCCTCCTTGTCTAGATGAATCATCTCAGATTCCCTAGAACGACGAGATGGGGTGGGACGACTCCCACCAAGCCTTTCCATTGCGCTAGTCCGGCCCATCTCAGGACCAAGACGTAGCTTGGCAGACTTGCGGGGCCCATCCTCTTTGTCCCCCAGGCGTTTGAACGCCGAATCTCGAGTTTTGCTGGGCTTGGCTATAGCCTTACCCTTCCTCCTGCGAGCCGCCTCCTGCTCTGCCTCATCGACCTCATGGACATTTGAGGGCGCTGCCTCGTTCATGGTCCCTGTCAGATTCACCGGGCGTATAGGGATCATCCTAGGGACAAATGTCGATAGGGTCGACACCGGAGGTGGCATGATTGGCGGCGTCATGCCAGGATAGGCAAATGGCATGAAACCCCCTGCCTGTTGCATCATGGCCATCACCTGTTGATAGCCCTGTAGAGCTTGAGCATTTGCCAGGTCAGCAGCAAACTGAGCCCAAGCTGATGGGTATGGTGTGAATGCTCCACCAGGCGTTGTTATCGAGCCTGGGAACATTGTTGTTGTCGGCGTAGGAGTAGGGGTTGACATGATTGGGATCATGCCAATCAATCCTACAGTAGTGATCGGAGCAAAGGTCGTCCTCATGCTTGTCATCATCAGTGGGATGGCAGGAGTGCTTTCACTCATAGCCTGGCTTGAAACAACGTTGTGGTTGCTTGAAGACATGATTGTGGATATTTAGTGGGGGTAAAGTTTTGACCTGGTCAAAAAAACTTTAGAAATCGGCCCCACGGTGGGCGCCAAAAATGATAGTGTAAATATAGCTGGGCGGGTTAACCGGGTTTAACCTGGACACTTAACCCGTAATATAAAACACATAACAAGAACACAAAGTATGACCTAGACCGGGTAAATCTCCTCGGTCCGAAATATATTTCTTACTCTGTCTCAAGAGTGTACTAGTTTTTAGTGAGAGAAAGAATTGCCCCTCCTCTATCCAATATCATCATATTTATAGAGGAGGATTTGTGACCTTCCCCTATTCATCCTTGGACAAAATAGGAAGCCCGTGTGAAGGTCACTATACATAATCAATCTACTATTCAATCAATGAATTTAGCAACTACAAGCCAAGACATGTACTGTTCAATCAAAGACTATTAAAGGATATTCTCAATCCAATCAGCCCTGCAAAGTGACAAATGTTCCTTTCACTGTTTATTGAGCTCAACCCAGAACTTTGTTGAGCTCAACCCAGAACTTTGTTCTTCTTGGATTCTTCGCAACATTAGGTGATATTTTGGCTATCGCCCAAAATGTGACCGGTCACTTTTTTAGTGGAAGTGACCGGTCATTTTTTGACCCGTCCCAATCGAAGAGTTATCATCATCTGGTGATTTGATAAAAGTGACCGGTCATATTTCGACCTGTCCCTTTTGGTTATCCGGATCGGGTATAAGGATATACCCATCATATATATATATATATATATATATATATATATATATATATATATATATATATTAAATATATATATATATATATATTTATTTATATATATATATATATATATATATATATATATATATATTATTAAAAGAGATAATATATTAAAAAGAAAAGGAGTACAAAGGTGGGGTGGCCGACCCCAACAAAATGGCCCAATCATGAGAAGAAACAGTACAGAAGAACCATCCAAAACACAACAAAACAAGAGAAAAAGAAACTCCGTGCAAAAGTAATCCCAACTTGATGCATATAAACTGTCCTACCACTGTTACTTCCACATGCCAATTGCGAAACCAGGAGGTCCTGAGAAGGACGAGCAGTTCAACTCCAAATCATTCAGCCCCCCTTTTATTCCCAGTACTGTGTGCCTAGCCTTCCAGCTGGTTGAGAGGACCTCACTAAGAGCCACACCCAATTGCAATTACTCCCAACCCAACCAACCCATCAAATAAAGATTTAGAGTGCCTCTGAGCAAATCCGAAGTTTTTATAGGAGAACCCCAAAAGTAAGGCAGCAAAACTGTTGATTCTAGAGAAGACCAAAAAACCAAAGCACCAAGAAACAAACCACACCTAAGATTATTATCAGTGCAATCCAAAAAGCATAAGTCATAAAAGAACTAAAACAGAAGTTAAGCCCAGCAACTCATATTATGAGCCGATTTAAACAGAACTAATCGGAGAATCTTCACCCTCATCTCCTGAGAGGAACTCGGAAACCAGCTGTTCATCAGCTCTGCAAAATGAAATGAAAATTGGGTATTTAGATCCTTCAATTTGGGCCATCCGCACCTTCTCCACGCCTTTTACTGTTTCTCGAGTTGCTCTTATTGTCTTCCCCGACATGTTGTGAACTAGACCTGTTTTGAGTTTTTCCAACACCACTTTCTTAGCTAATGCCTCTTTGATTTGGCACACTACAGCTGAGAAGACGGTATCAAAATATGCATCAAAGGCTGCTTTAAATAGCCTTTGTATCATCATTTCTTCTTCTGGTACAGTATAAGAAACATCTTCTGTGATTTTGACTTCCCTCAACGCCAAGGCAATGTCCTGCTCAAATAAGTCTGAAGAAATAGATTGCATCAATTGATTTTCATTCCCTCCCTGGGCCTGTAGCTCCTTAATGTCATTCTCAAAAGTGATAGAAACAGATCCTATTTCCTCACTTCGAACATAGGTCTCAGTCTTATCCCCTGCCTCGGACTCCCCACGGAGTTTCAGAGCTTCCTTCATACTTTTGATGAAGATGTTTATACCTGCATTTTTGGTACCTACTGGGATGCAAATTCTAGACATGTCCATCTCAAGTCCCCCACTGAGCATAACAAATTCACCATAATTGTTTGAATCCCAGTGGGATTTAGTGGTGAGGGCTCCTTCATACCTTGAGATAAGCCACCCCATCCTAGCAAGAGGTGGGTGGCTTAAAGACTCTATAAGCAAAATAGCAGTAGAATGGGAGACAGAGAGAGATCGAATATTACCATTCTTGAGTTCGGAGATAGAGATGTTAGTATCTGAAGCCTTGAACTCGAATGTCTTGCTCTCTATAGAGATTAAGATGGTCGAACCTTTGACAAAAGGGCCAAGGTATCGCCTGGATTTAGGTCGGGGATATGATATCCCAGTTCTTGATCTCCATCCAAAAGAGCTGATCTCTTTCTTGTCGCCTCTCCAACCCAATTTTTGGTATCTGTACTCCCTTCCAGGTCCACGCCATCTTCCTTGGAGCTCAGCACTGTAAATATCGCGTCCAGATTGTGCTTCGCCGTAGAAGAAATGTGACCGCCGTTGACCGGAGAATCTCTCCCTTCTCTCTAACCCTAACCCCATCTCATATATATATATATATATATATATATATATATATATATATATATATATATATATATATAATATCTGATAGACACAGTGGTATTGACCACGCATTCACAAATGTTCCAGAATTGCAGGGAGGTCACTCGAAGATTTTGTCTCCGCCACCTACGAAGAAATTTCCATAGCAAGTTTTAAAGTAAAAAAATGAAGAATTTGATTTACAAAACTGGTGAAACTCCTAGCAGAAGTGAGTTTGAGCAGACGCTTCTTCAGATAGCGTCAAAAAATCAAGAAGCTTACAACTTGCTTATGGATATTCCAAAACACATGTGGGCATTGTCCCAGGATGAAGGTGGCTCACGCTATGGTATAACAACCACAAATTTGTCAGAAAGCTTCAATAATGTCTTTAAGAGATGTCGTTGTTTGCCTGTCTATGCCATTGTGAGGTTCATCTATGATAAATTGGTCAATCATTTTGCTGATAGGCGAACCAATGGATATTTGTGTCAACAATCTGGGTATAATTTTCCTATGTGAAAAAAATTTCAAGATAAATGAAGAAAATAGGCTTTATTGTCGTGTTGTGCAGTACCACGCACAGCACATACTCTGTAGTTGTGGATGAGTCCTCCAATAATGGTCACCGTGAGACATTTGCAGTGAACTTAAATGCACGAATATGTAAATAATCTGTTGCTTTTTATGAAATTTTTTTGTTTTTCAATTATGAGAAATAAAGGAAAAATTGATTTAAAAAAAATATAGAAACAAAGTTGAGAAATAAAAAAAATTTGATTAGGGGGGGACGGAGGTTGCTACTCCGTTTTCTTAATTAACTAGTTCTCTGACCCGTGTGTTGCACGGATAGTATTTTGAGTCAGTGACATAAAATAAAAAATAAATTTATAGTGTATATAAAGACAATAAAACAAAATTGTATTCAATATAAATATTAAAAGTATTATATACTAATATTGAGAAATGTGTAGTGAAGACAAAAAAACGAAATTAAAGGTTTGAAAGACTTCCTTGTACACTATATTTCTAAATCAAGTAAAAATAAATGTTGAACAAAAATAGCGTACAATTACATAATCAATTAAAATGTCAAGTCAAACACAAAGCTTGATGATGAGATGTGATTTGAAAATAACTCTAGAAAAGCTGTGTTTCTTTAATGAAAACATGTCCAAAGCATTCAACATTACCAAAGCCTCATCACACGCTTCTCAGTGTATAGTCATATAATGTTTTTACCATTTTCCCATAAACTGTTATACTTTCCCATAAGTATTTATTTAAATTATTACACTTTCTCATAAACTTTTAATCTTTTCCATAAACTTTTATACTTTTCCATAAAATCCTTTATATATAATATTTGAGAGTTTAGCTTTTAGAATTGCGACATGTGTCAAGCTTACTTGGCGTTTTTTTAACATATGAGCAGCCATGTCAGCAATTGATCCAAAGGTTTTTTTCTTTAAGTTTTCTACGGACCAGATTATGTAATTAGGCTTACCATCTGCGATCTTCCTCTCTTCATTTCACGCTTACCATCTGCAATCGGGACTTTCTTTCTAGGCCGGCAAAATTCCTTCATCTGCAAAATTCTAGAAAATCCGGTAATGATCTCTGATTCTGATTGATAATATTGATATCGATTGATGAACGGTTCCATTTTTTCCTTTTGCAAACATCAATTTCGTAGGAGTTATCTATTCTGATTGGTGTGTGATTTGACGATGTAGCGGATATATTTAATTGGATTGATATTCGTAATTTTATTTTAAGAAAAAAAATCCTCTTTTTCCTTCTACAAACAGCACCTTGGTATTATTTTTGGTTAAATTGAATTCAATTATCAATATTATTTTCCAGACCAATTTTCTTTGCGATTGAGGACAAATTGTCTAACAAATTGGGGAAAGATTGACCAAATTTTGGCACTTCAACAAAATTTGTTTCTTGATGAGTTCATGAAACTTCTTTTAAATATAATTATAATCTATGCAATGCATTTTTTTTTATTCATTTGCTCTATTGGCATGTCTTCCAAGATCGTTCATCCTTTGTCAAAGATCACTCCGAACAGTGCGTGTTTGAGGCTTTTAGTTCGTGTGATACGAATGTATACGTTGCCGGTGTAAAATTATGAAAAGGAAATGAATTCAACTGAAATGGTATTCATGGAACACGTAAGTAAATCCTTGCTGCATCTGTACTCTATTTATTGAACCAATGGTCTGTGTGTTTTGAGATTCTTTTAACAAAAGAGTGTCCTTTCATTGTTGAACCAATTTAGTTGTTTCAAAGTGTGTTATGGTAAAAGTGTTATGGAAATGATTATCAATTGATTGGTTGGAGATTGTTTAAATTATTGTTTGGTTCAGTCACTTACTTCAAACAGTTTTGATGACTTGGTACTTGGAGTTTGATTTAAATCAATCTTTTTGTGTATCTTACACCAATATCATAAAGTAATCAATGTTTCTTTCTATTTATTGGAATTCTTTTGTTTTTATGCTACCAAATGTAATTTGTGTTTTTATGCTACCAAATGTGCTTTGTGAATAAGACTGATTACTTTTTAAAAAAACACAATGTATGGTGTGCGTGGTGCGGATGGTGCAGAAAATATTCACATGAGGAGAGAGAGTAAGATCATTTTTATTGTTTGAGTATCAGAATTTGATCCACATATTGTTTGATTAGCTAGCCTTTTATCATTTGATTTTGTTTGTATTGCAGAATCTGATCCATAGATTGTTTGGCTGACTTTTTTTCCCTTAAATCACTAAGATACCGATAGTGTACCTCTTGAATATGTTACAATCATCAGACTCTTAGTGCTGGTATGCTAAATAATTAAACAAATATATCCAATGTTGCAAGTGCTTTTATAGTCAATCATTGATAACTTTACCATAAGTAGATTCTTAGTGCTTTTATACTAAATAAATAAACAAATATTATCCACTGCTGCAAGTGCTTTTATAGTTAATCATTGATAACATTACAATATGCATATTCTTATTGCTTTTAGAGTAAATAATTAAACAAATATATCTAATGCTGCAAGTGCTTTTATCTACAGACATTGATTTGTTTATTTTTTATGTTGTGTATGAAACTACTATCCATGCCACCGCACAATAAAGTTTGGTGGGAACTTTTGAAAAGATAATCAAAGAAGGTTTAGTATGTCTTTTCTTATTTTGGCGTCGGCAATAGTAGTGGATATTATCGCACTTCAAGACATGAGTTTCGCCTAAAATTTCAAGCAAGGACGACTCTCACTGGCAAAAGTTGTGACAAAATACCACTTTATGGAATTAGGTTGGTTGCTTTCCCGGATATCTTGCATGCAGGTTCGAACTACCCATGCTTAGTTGGTAATTCTTTCCTTTCACCTGATGAGCATTGTTTATTTGAATAAATAAACTTTAGTGAGGTATGGTAACTTAGATGGAATATGTTATTGTTAATTATTCTGAATATCATTATGATATTGTAGTCACTATGGATATTCTTTCTGCTATGGGAAATGAAAGAGATATATAGTGAGAGAGTCGAAAAGAACGAAGATGATTGTGATTATGTTAGAAACATAAGGGTATTATGTTATTATTTTACTTTCATTGGAAAAAAATAATGTTGTTAAATTAAGAGTCAATACACGTGTATTGACATTTTTTAAAACGTTGGTAAACGAGACAGAGGTTAGATGTTACGTTATTTGGTGAGTATGTTGACATGCTAAGGTCAAGATGTTTCAAGGTATTGGTAACTTAAAACGCTATTGAGTTCTTCTGTATCCTTTTAGAAGATTGTTAATCAACTTTATTCATCTATATGTCATTTCATATTAAATAACTACTCCGTATTATCTAATATTCATTTCACGTTATTTTAGGATATATTATTCTACAGAATATAATGTATGATACATGTCTTTTGTTAATCTGGAAATAGAGGTTGTTACTGCATTCAGAGGTTAGTTTATTCATGTCTGATTTTGGTACAACTAAGGGTAGAGTGGACACATTCAAACTAAGAACAAAAGTAACATAATGCAGGACTCTTTGTGGTTCGTCTCAACCAGAACCTCTTAGGTTGTCATGTGAGAATGTTACAAGATCTGACCAATATATTTCCTTTATTGCGGAAAAAAAATATTACATTGAAAAAATCCAGAACTGACAAGATATTTGTTCGACCCCGTGCATTGCACGGGTAGGAATACTAGTATTTATTTAAGTTACACTTTCCCATAAACTTTAACTCTTTCCCATAAACTTTTACACTTTCCCATAAAGTATTTATTTAAGTTATACTTTTCCATAAACTTTAACTCTTTTCCATAAACTTTTACACTTTCTGATAAAATATTTATTTAAGTTACACTTTTTCATAAACATTAACTCATTCTCAAAAATTTTTACACTTTCTCATAAAATAATGACGTCTTTACATTGGAATACGCGAAAAATTTTTACACTTTCTCATAAAATAATTATGTCTTTACATTGGAATACGTGAAAATTTTTTACACTTTTTCATAAAATAATTATGTCTTTACATTGGAATACGTGAAAATTTTTTACACTTTCTCATAAAATAATGATGTTTTTACTATTTTATTATAAACTATTACACCTTCCCATAAGTATTTATTTAAATTAGGAAAAATTACCCAAAATAATCCCAACTTTATCCGATCTTTCAAAAATAATCCCACCTTTCACTGTGATGCATAATAATCTCAACTTTATTGAAATTTGCTAGTTTTGAATCGCCGTTAAGTTTCTAACGGAGGGTTAACGGAAATGCCCGTTTTAGGCAACAAAATGAAAGTTGGATTATTTTTTATTAATTTTTGTTTTTGAATTTTTTTTGAAATTTTTAATTAAATTTTTTGAATTACTTTCAACCTCCATTTCTTTTTCTTTTTTAAAGATTATTCTTATCTTAACATTTTACACACTATACAAGAACAAGCCGTCCGGTAAAGTTGGAATTATTGTACATAATTTTTTCTAAAAAAATAAGAAGTGATATGTTAATACTTTGTATAATGCGTAAAATATTAAAACCAACTTGTATATTTTTATTTTACTTTTACCAATTTCAAGTTAGTTTCCATTGATTATCTTATTTATTTTATTATTTTTGTATCATTTTAGTTACAAAAATGATACAAATCTTTAATTTTGTATCATTTTTCATTTTTTATATCTATTATTTTTAATTTTTAAACTAAGACTAATCTTTAAAAAAGGAAAAAGAAATGATGATGGAGGTAGAAAGTAATTTAAAAAATTTAAATGAAAAATTTAAAAAAAAATAAAAAAAATGAAAATTCATCAAAAATAATCTTAACTTTCATTTTGTTGCCTAAAACGGGCATTTCCGTTAACCCTTCGTTAGAAACTTAACGGCGACCCAAAACTGGCAAATATCAGTAAAGTTGGGATTATTATGCATCACAATGAAAGGTGGAATTATTTTTGAAAGACCGGGTAAAGTTGGAATTATTTTGAGTAATTTTTCCTTGAAATTATTACACTTTCCCGTAAACTTTTAGTCTTTCCCATAAACTTTTATACTCTCCCATAAAATATTTATTTAAGTTACACTTTTCCATAAACTTTAACTCTTTCCCATAAACTTTTACAATTTCCCATAAATTATTTATTTAAGTTACACTTTTTCATAAATTTTAACTCTTTCCCATAAACTTTTACACTTTGCCATATACTCGTAGTATTTATTTAAGTTACACTTTTCCATAAACTTTTGCTGTTTCTCAAAAACTTTTACACTTTCCTATAAAGTAATGATGTCTTTACAATGGAATACGTGAAAATAGTGGTGAAAATGTAATGACCTCTTTACATTGGATTTCTTTTTGTTACTCTGGTACATTCAAATAAGGAAATTTGTATGGAGTAACTTATAAGAAAAATATTAGTCACAAAAACAAAAATCACAAAATATACAATTTGTGTACCTCATGAAAAAGGAAAATAATAATTTTAATACTCCATAATTAATAATAGAAATTTAATTGCACAAATGGCAAAACAATTTATTTTGTGATTATAGTGGCTCTGACATTTCGTAAATTCTTTAAAAAGAAAAGCACATCATACTCCCAAACCTTTTAGGAATTATATAATTTACCCTTAAACAATAAAAAGTGCATCACTTGGCCTCGAATCCTTCAAAAACCACACAATTTAGTCCTGATCATTAAAAATGAACTAAATACCCTTCAACAATTTAAAACGTTGCAGAGTTAGTCTTAAAATGCTACAGTATATAAGTACAATGCTTCCACGCACGGAATTACGGGTATGATTTAAATTCTCTTAAGTACCTTTCTCCACAATTATGTCTTTATTTAATTATTAAGGGTAAACCATACAATTTTTTTAAAAAAAAAAAGAATATTTGATTCACTCTTTAATGTTTAGGAAAAAAAGGCAAGAAATGATATCAAAACCATAATAATGTAAGGAAAAAAACAATCAAAACCAATGCCAAAAGAAGAGTTGAATGGCAAAAAGGTAATATATTTAGGAGTAAATGTTGTTGGGCATAGCCAAACCTTAGTTGATAATTTTCCTATTTTCTGGAACCCTAACCCTAAATCCAAAAAATAAAAGAATAAAATATTTATTTGCAAAACTTTTAAAAAATGGGGGCTCAGATCTATAAAGCATCGGGCGGAGATAGACCCTGGACACCGCCATGGCTGCAAACGCAACAGTTGCACGGAAAGCGCCATCCGCGCGCTGCCATGCCAAGATACGGGTTGGGTCGTATCCCATCCAGATCTAATCAGCTCAGGAGGGCAAATTTGTAATCATCAGTCATCACACCCCTTAAAACCGTATCGCCGCTCATTTATCGACTAACGCCGCCGCCCGTAGCGGCGCACAACTATCGCATACCAGATTATGCATATATGTGTGTGTGTGTGTGTAAACACAGATGTGAGATGTATAACAACACAGAGATCGATAGAGAGAGAGAGTATAGTATAGCAGCAACAATAGCGAGAATAGCAGATCTCGTTCTTTCAAACAAAAGGGGAAAGAGACAGAAAAAGAAAGCGTTGGAAGAGAGTTGTTGTTGGTGGATGCGGGGGAGGGTAGATAATCATATGGTTGCAGAGAGAGGGCAACCACTCTCTTGGTGAAATCCAATCCCTCCCTGGACCCTCATACTCTACCTTCTTCGCCTTCCTCCAGAAGAGCAATTAATTTACCTTTTCCCCTCTTCTCCGGTCTCCCAAGAGCACTGAGAAAGAGATTATAAAAAAATTAATGGAGACCGTTCATCTTCTCTATGCACGCGTGTTTCGCATGATGCAAAACCTATTCCAAGTGTTCTCATTTTGGTGGTTTTTAAGAAGATTTGAAAAATGGTGAAAGTTTACCATAATACTCTTAATGAAAATGGGTGGAGTGTATTAAATGAGGTGGGTGAGGTGTAATAAATAAAGTAAATGGAGGTAGTTGTGGTATTTTAATTGTTAAAAAATGAAATGAAAAGATCTATTGTGGACAAAGAAAAAGAGCTATTGCCTGTTTCATATGCCTAAAGATTAATTGCTTTTTCCCAAAGAATTGGATATCCGACCGTACACCCGAATATTAATTGGTCAGTTTTTTTCTTTTATTGGATACCCGACTATTAATGTCCTACTCGAACACCCAATCCGAACCCAATTCTTTAGGCGAGAAAATATAATGTTCATTTTTCCCCTTGAGCTTTGTATATTAAGGGGCTGTTTGTTTCAGCCTCTTAATGGTTCCGATTTCTGAATGGTTCAGCACTTAATGGTTCAGACTATTTGTTTCGTGAGTAGATGTCTGAATGGTTCAGACATTTGCCCCTGAATTGTTAAGTATTATACAGAATCTGAATGGTTAAGACCTCTTATCTGAATTGATCAGACATTTGCCTCTAAATAGTTAAACAATATACTAACTCTTAATAGTTCAGACCTCTTACTGGTTCAGCACTTAATGGTTTAGACCTCTTACTGGTTCAACACTTACCTATTCAGAAGTTGCCAAACAGCCCCTAAGAGATTATTTGGAACGGAGTTGACTACCCCGTTTCATTAAATATGAGTAATAACTGTCAGACGGAGTAAGCTACTCCAGTTTGCTTTATTTGGAAGCTGGATATTTAACCCATGCAATCCATTTAAGGGAAATCGTCCTCAATTGATGCCGACTATATTTCAAACGGATAATGCTAGAAACCCACCACTGATGTCCCCACGAATGACAATACAGATGATTTTATACCTACATAGACAGTAATCATCTATGTTGTTCACAGATTATTATCGTCTGTGTAGGCATAAAATCATTTATATTGTCATCGGTAGCCGTAGAGGCATGAGTGGTGGGTTTGTAGCATGGTTCATTTCAAACACTATATCCTCCTTATTTGTACTGCTTTTTACTTATCAACTTGCCCTTCTTCTCATTATCGGCGGCGTCGTCGATTCCTTATTCCATCTCTAATTCCTTTCGAATTTTGAACTCCCGCTGCCGTAAGTCTTCAAGCTTCCCATTTAGAGCGTTTTGATTCCCAATCCAGGTTTATGCTTTAATTTTGCCCTAGACTTCTTTTAATCTTTTTTTTTAGAACAATCTTTTCGTTCTTTATCGTTGTAAATTCTTATGTTCAAGAATAAGATTATATGTAGTAAATTTTTCATTTGATGTTTATTTTAAATATTCACTCAGTATGTTTAAATTAATTTTTAAGAAATACCATTCTAGGGCTTTTGGACTTAATTTTCTATCTGTTTGCCTTCTTTGCAATTTTTCTTCAACTTTTTTCTAAATTGTTACAAATTAGTGTGTAAATGACATCAAAGTTTTCAATTTGTGAATGATATAAAAATTTAGGCATTTGTAACTTGTATAAAAAAATTCCAGACTTTTAAGCAAATCCTTTTTCTAGTTTTTTTTAAAAAATCTTTTGAAATTTCACTAGATGCAATCCAAAAAATTTTAGAATTATTTAAATTTAGCCTTTATGGTTCTGGCTTGTAAATGATTTTATATAATGGTTTTGAAAATGTTTTAATAGATTTTTATATTTAGCTTTAATACATACGTAGTATATGGTTTAGTACATAGTATATGGCTCTATAGTTTAACTTTAATACGTAATACAAGATTGGCTTGGATATGGATTGGCTCTATAATTTAACTTTAATACGTAATACAAGATTGGCTTGGATATGGATCAAACTTTAAAAGGAATAATAGTTTGATTAAAGATTGTTTGTCTAAACATACAAAGATGCTGTTTTTAAGTAAACTTTTATTTACACTATTTACTTATATGAATTTAACTTAGGGCCACAATTTCTATTTTGCACAGGGCCCTTGTAAATGTGTGATTGGCCCTGATTGTGCACCGTGTTTTTTAAGTTTGCATGTTATGCTGTTTCTTTTGCTAGTGCATCCCTAATACAGTGACACTGTGAATCAACAATGATTTTTCTTTCCCACAATAGGGAATATCCCTATTCACTAATATCTTTTTAAGGCTTTGCCTATTATTATAGTTCTTGATGGGGCTCTATTCCACATGTTTTATTCTTGTTATTTTATAATGTCCCTACTAAGTTGTCCAGGACATGCCAATGCTTATTTCAAATTGCATAGTTTTCACAAGAAGCTATTGAACAAGGATTCATAAAGGGAATGTTTTGTTGTCAACATATTGTTCTTTTTAGCATTTTAACCTGTAACAACCATAGTTATGAAAGGCGAGCGCCTTGATCGCCTATGGCGTTAATGGCACTGTGGCGTTTGTGGCACATTGATTGGGCAATGTATGGCGATGTCCTTGAGGCAAGGAATGGCAATCGCCATTTTCGATGCTAATTATGGCATATGGCGTTTGCAATTGACGCAATTAAGTTGTGGGTCAATTTTTTCACTATCCAGGCTTCATCCAAGACATAGTTTGTAGTTGTAATCCAGGATATGTTTTTATACTCTAACATGCCTTACTCTTTTCTACTATTATGCACTTTTAGGCGTCAATTTTTTGTAGTTGTAGTCTAGGAGATGTTTTTATACTCTAACATGCCTTATTCTTTTCAATTTAATACGCATTTAGGTGTATATATAGTTCCAAAAGAAATTAGAAGGTATACAAGCAAATATTATAAAAATTAGGTGTAAAAAGCATCCTAAGTATAATTTAATGAATACGAAAAACTTGTTAGAGCATAAAGCATTTACTGGACCTACAACCATAGGATTTGTGGTTGAGGTTGTTCCTTAACATGGTATCAGAGCTAACCTAGAGGTCACAAGCTTTAACTTCACTGTCACCCAATTTTTTACTAAAAATAATGTTCATTTTTAAGGCTTGAACAAAAACAAAAATTGCGTGCATGTTAGGGCATGTTAGAGTATAAAACTTTTCATTGGCCTACAGTTACAAGTTTGAGCTTTTAGTTGAATTAGTTCATTGACATATTGTAACAATGCTAATACTCCATCCGTCCCTAAATAAGGTTCCACTTAACTATTCACATGGTCAAACCATATCTTCTTTCCTTATATATTTTCATTGATTATTTGATAAACCCAAACAGTCAAGCTTGTTTTGTAGAACTTTTAATGTTTTGTTTAAATATACTACCTCTATCCTGTAATTATCTTATCACTTTCCTTTTTGGGTTGTCCTAAATTTTTCTTCCAATTTCTTTTCAAGAAATGAATATATGACCCTTATTTTTTCTCTTTTCTCTACACAAATCATTACTACACACATTCCACTTTATTAAAAATTGTGCCAAGTCAAACAAGGAAGAAAATCACGAGACATAGGGATTATAAATTTTATTTTTCATTTACACACTGATTTTCAAATAAATTGAATTAAAAATAATTTCAATCAAACATCGTAAACAGTAAATAACGTTTTTCATTTCACATCATTTTGTTTAATTCCACAATTTTTATGGGACAGGGGGGATTTTTCCACATCAATCTTTTGATTCCACACCAATTTTCTATGACAGATGGAGTAGGCATTAGGATTAACGTTTTTGATAAAAGCATACTCTTACCATTTTATTTTATAACATACGAGGTTACGACACTTTTTTAAAAAAAACTTGTAGATGCTAGCAAAACCCGCTAATAGACTGTTAATTATTATCTACTATACCGTATCTGCTAATTGTTGTTTACCAAACAAGCCCCAAGACTTCTACTCCACACATACATTGATATGCATTGAGCCTGCAATAATTTCATTCTTGGTTTCTTGTGTGGCTTCTTATGGGTCTATTCTTTTCGTGTTATCCAAGGTCTAACTTTCCAAATGGTTTGGCTTCTTGTGATTTCTCTTGGACATCACATTTATTGTTTGGTCAAACTGTACTATGGATTAGTAAATCTGTGCTACAATAATCTTTTCTCAAATGCTCCCTTTGCCTTTCTGTATGTGGTTAAGAAATGAGTATAAAAAGACAATTGTACCCCTCCCATTTCTAAAAAAGAGAGTAAAAGTAAAGGGTACATGGAAAAATTCACACAAGAAATCCACTTCCATAAACTCCGCTCAAAAAGTTATAGTGAATTGTTTTCGAGGACAGGTGAGTTTTTTGTTTGAAGTCAAACCTTCTTTCTTACTACAACAACAACCCAGTGTAATCTCACGAAAGTAGGCTCTGGGGAGGGTCGGTGTACGCAGACCTTGCCCATACTTGAAAGTAGAGACATTCTTTCATACTAAACATAGAAAATCTTTGTTCATATTAACATTTGCTCTTATTTTGTGTGATGGTGCTTCTTTGTTGGCCGGTTTAGTGATCATTGAATGAGTGGATAAAATGTAGTGCATATTTGTTCGGATTTGTAAGTGATTTGGTTTCATTGACAAGTTTGTTCATGACTTTGTGTATCCCAGTCTCTGGAATGGACAACAGAAAAAGGCCCGGGAATCTTTATTCTTCAGCAAACAGTATGCTTTATTTGGATCTCAAGGATATCATCAGGGAACATGCCCTGCCCAACCTTCCAGCTAAAGCACTGTTCAGATTTATGGCTGTTTGTCGAGACTGGAAGCTCCACATTTCAGCACCATTCTTTCACCACACGCAATCTCTTTGTTGCCGTGCAATAGCAGGCATATTTTGTCAGGCTCATGGAAATCCTTTCTTCTTACCAATTCACCCAAATTCTTCAGGTGTTCCAGATCCATCTTTGAGTTTTCTGCCTGAGCCTGTTGACATTAAGGCCTCATCTAACGGACTGCTGTGTTGCCAAGGACGAAATGAATCCAGGTCTTACTACCTGTGCAATCCAGCTACAAAACAATGGAACAAACTTCCAAATCCAACTGCTTTTCATGGCCCTGATCCAGCACTTGTGGTTATCTTTGAACCGTCAGTGCTCAACTTTGTGCCTGATTACAAACTCATCTGTGCCTTCCAATCTGCAGATTTTGATGATGCAATTGAGTTTGAAGTATACACCTCCAAGAGCAACTCGTGGAGTGTTTCCGGGGAGATCTGTTTTGGAGCAAAAAGGCGTGTGCTCGGGTCTGGGGTTCATGCAAGTGGCGCTGTTTACTGGAACATTGTTGGGGGTGGCATAGTTTCTTTTGACCTATCAAAAGATAGGTCGCAACTTCTACAAAACCATTGCTATGATAGAAACTGCGTTTTGGGAACATATGATGGAAAGCTCTGTAAGGCTGCTATCAATGGCCTTTCAGTGTCTATTAGTGCTTTGGTTAATGTGCATACAAATACAATGCAAATGCAATCCAGAGAGAATATGTGGGAACGTGTAAAGATTGTTTCTTTGAATGGAAATATGTTTGACGGGGTGAATGCTACCAACTGCGACATTATTTCTGTCAGCAGTGATGTTCTGGTCCTTAAGTCTGGGATTAAGTTATATTCCTACAATATCAAATCCGGAGAAACTGCACCACTGAACCAGCCGGATTCACACTCATATAATGCTACTACATGTGTGCCCTACGTGAATAGCCTCGTTTCACTCTGAGCTTACTCTCAATTGATCTGATGTACTTACTGTCTCAAGCAGCCAAGATCCCAGTTTTATCACTGATCAATCTAAGACTTTCATATATTTCTATCGTTTGTGGATGCTCTCTCTATCTCCGACTTTCTCACTTGTTTTATGGAGTATTTCAGTCTCGGAATTAATTGTGAAAGAACTTTCGTCTGTCAGTGGCATTTCATTCCATGTTGCTAATTCTTTTGATTGCATGCAGTGTTATTTTTTAATCTTTGTTGATATGGGAAATGCTTTATATGCTTGTTTCCAGAGGCGGATTCAGGAATCGAGAAACATGGGGTCCCGTTTCTTAAATTGTGAACATATATTTATACTACATAATTATTCTCATGCTATAAAAAAACAATTATTTATATGAACATTCAAAATATGATTCTCAAATGGAATTTTCAAAGTCATAACTTCTACATCTGACAATTTTCTAAAGATTAAATTAAGTAATTGGACATAATGATTTTCTTTTGTAAAAAGCCTCGAATTAGAATGAAATATTTCAACATATCCATAATTCTTCGGTATCACACTTTAAAAATAGATGTAAATTGTAAAAAGAATACAAATAAAACAAAAAAATAGATTTGTTTATGTATTTTTTAAAGCAAAGTACTCGTAAAAATGCAATAAAAATTGTAAACTCTCTGCATGCATCAAAATATTCTAAACCAACAACATTGTAATTATCTAATTAAATAACTGCAAAGAGTGAAAGTTTGAAGTTTAATGTTTTGCATTCAAAATAAATTAATTCTACGAAGTATATTTTTTAGGTTTTCTTATAACAATGAGGAATGAGATCAAAATTGTATTGCTTGTTTATTACTCCGTACTAAAGTATGAAGATGGACGTAATTTTAGTAGATTGGAGGTTCTCATTTCATTTTTGATTTCCACTAAATTGTGAAAGCACTCATAAGAGAATTAAACTAAACAAATTTAAATAGCACGTGCATTTAGATAGTTTGATTGTCAAATTGGAAAAACTTTAATAATTATTTAATAACCCAAGTATTCATTTAAATTGAAATTCTAATGTAGCAATATGTATTAATACAAAAAAATACTGCCTAAAGAAATATAATAAAATATATTACAATAAAAAATATTTTTGTAAAGTACTTGAAGAAAAAATTGAGCTCAATAGAGAGAACAAAACTAGTAATTATTTAAATAGCATGTGCATTTAGATAGTTTGATTGTCAAATTAGAAAAACTTTAATAATTATTTAATAACCCGAGTATTCATTTAAATTGAAATTCTAATGTAGCAATAGGTATTGATACAAAAAAAATACTGCCTAAAGAAATATAATAAAATATATTACAATAAAAATGTTTTTGTAAAGTACTTGAAGAAAAAATTGAGCTCAATAAAAAGATCAAAATTAATTAGAAGAAGAGATTCAAACTCAAGACCACACTTTTCAAAGTTCAATCGTGCCTCCGCTACACTACCCCGATATTCATCACTATTTCTGTTTCTTTAAATATATATACTAATCATATCAGAGTACCTAATATATATAGGATCCTATGTGGATCGTGTTGAGATATTTTTGATTAAATAATTGAAAAAAAATAAATGTAGCTTGGTGGAAACAACCAAAAAGTGAGTTGCAGGAGAGGCTTAGCTTTAGGAGTTTTGTTCTCTTCCTCTTGGAGGTGTTAACTAGAATATTCCCCACTATTATGTTTTTGGCTATTTAAAAGCCATGGAACAACACGGTTGAGTGGGAAGAAAAAAAATAAGAAGGGTTAAAGAGAGAGGTGCTACACAAGATATCACCAACATTGTGTGAGTGAGTGTAGGGAGTAGCTATTATCTAGTTACTCGGAAAAATACATTCGGGTGTAGGGTGTGAGAAATCTGTTTATAAGTGTCTGGTATTTAGTGCTTGTAAACAGGGAGAGTTTTTTGTGTATCGTTGTGAAATAGTGAAGATATAATTTTTCTCTCATATTTTTTTCTTGTGTAGTGTGTTTATTTATTTTTCATGTTCTTGATATTTTAAGAGTCTTACACGCTTAAAATCCCAACAATTGGTATCAAAGCCAAGTTACATTTGGGGCAGAGGGATTTCTAATTGGTAAGAGAAGAAAGTCGAAGAACTGGAAAAATGGCATCGATAAAAAAGTTCGAATGTTTCCGTCGAACCTTTCGATGGACGTGGAAATTTTATTCTGTGGCAACAACGAGTAAAAAGTGTTCTTACTCGGGAAGGGACAATCAAAGCTCTGAAGGTGAAGGTTCAGAGGACAGAAAAAATGACTGATGCTAAGTGGGCCAAACACCGGTAGAACGACAAACCGGAAAAGTTGTCGGAAGAAGAGTGGGAGGATTTGAAGGACATGGCAACAAGTACAATATGCATATGCCTTGCAAATAATACTCTTTGGGAGCTTCTCGGTTTGACGGACCCGGTGGATATTTGGGACAAGCTGGAGAGCCGGTACAAGTCGAAATCATTGACAAGTAGGCTATACTTGAAGAAACGATTGTTTGTTCTCCAAATGGCGGAGGAAGCTAACTTTAATGGACACTTGGATGAATTCAACAAGATTACAACAGAGTTGGAATCCATTGATGTGAAGATTGAAGAGGAGGACAAGGTGCTGCTTTTGTTGGCTTCATTGCCTTCATCTTTTGACAACATCGTGACCACGCTTTTGTTTGGAAAAGAGACCTTAAAATTTGATGAAGTAGTTGATGCGTTGTTGATGAACGAGACTCGGCGGGGTGGCAACGGGGTATCAAATGACGGTCAAACTTTGGTAGCAAAAGGAGCTGGTCGAGAACGAGGACGGTCTAAAGAGAGGGGCGGCGCGTCCCAACGTTTCAAATCGAGTAGTAAAAGCTTTCGGTGTTATTATTGCGATGAAGAGGGTCATTTCAAAAGAGATTGTCCAAAGAGGAGGAAGGAAAAGAAAGACGGGAAAACACCCGTGACTGCGGTTGCAGAAAGTTCGAACCAAGAAAGTGAAGAAGACTTGTTTTTGGCAACCGCAAAGAGTCTAGGTAAATCGGATTGGATATTAGATTTGGGTTGTTCGTTTCACATAAGTTCAATTAAGGAAAAGTTTGATACGTATCAAACTTGTGATGGGGGTGCTGTGAATATGGAAAATGGTGCACGGAGCAAGATTGCAGGTGTCGGAACAGTACAAGTTCTCATGTTTGATGGCATGGTGAGAACATTAACTGGAGTGAAACATGTACTGGGTCTAAAAGGAAATTTGATTTCATTGGGGGCTTTAGATTTAGAAGGCTACCGAATTTTTGCTCAAGGTGGAGTGTTAAAAATTTCTAAGGGAGCAATGGTGGTAGCAAAAGGAATTTTGTCAAAGGGCTTGAATAAACTTGTAGAAAAAGATTTGACACAGGCGCTATCAGAAGGAAAAATCACAAGTGCAACAAGTGGAACATTTGCATGGAAGAAGCGGGTGATGTTTGAAGCTTCTCCAGTTGGTGGAAACTGTGACCTCGCCGGAACGAGCGAGGTGGAGCCAGACCAAGTTTTATTATTTAATCAAGGTGGAGTTTTTTGAGATATTTTGGATTAAATAATTGAAAAAAATAAATGTATCTTGGTGGAAACAACCAAGAGGTGAGCAGCAGGAGAGGCTTAGCTTTAGGAATTCGGAGTTTTGTTCTCTTCCTCTTGGAGGTGTCAACTGAAAGTCGGTTTATACCCTAAGAGGGGGGTGAATTAGGGTGTTTGCAAGTTTTTCATAAAAACAAAAACTTATGCGCAAAGTAGTAGCGGAAAAAGAGCAAGAAAAGTATAAAAGATAAAAATATGACACAAGCAATTTTATACTGGTTCATGAACTCTCTACTCCAGTACCTCGAGGCTCCTCCTCAAAGATTTAACCTCCACTAACTTGTTTGGCTTCACTAAGAAGACTCAAACGAGGTTTGGCAAACAACCCTTACCAATAAGCAAATGAGATTTTACTACGGCTATCTCAACCGTTTACAACCGAAGATTTTAAGGCTATCTTCAACCTTACAATGAGGATTTAAAAGCTATCCACACCTTTTAAAATCAATAAAAGATTGGTGTTGCTTCTCTACCAAAATAATAACAAATATGAATTGGGTAGGAGAAGAACAAAAGATTTAATCAACACAACAAAAGCCTATAGGCAAGATAAAAAATAATGAATCACAAATGCTCTTGTGTGTGAGTGTATAAATATAAGAGTAAGCTTTATACTCAAAAGAGTAAGAAAAATAAGAACAAAGCTTTTAGGAACACTCAAAAATAGAGAAAGAGGCTTTAGATTTAATTGGGAAGTTGTTGTATATAAAATGAGACTTAGAGGGGGTTTATATAGGAGTATGGAATGTTAAAATTTGAGTTTTTAACGTTAAATGCCGTTAGGAAGTTATTAGGGGTGATTTGAATCTAAATTGGCAATTTGCTACAGTGTTGGTAACGGATACGGTACCTTTCACGGTAGGGTCAGTACCGTCTGGTACCTAGGTACCGTGACCACGATACAACCTACCGTTAGGGGGTACCGTATAGGCCAAAATATTCAATTCGGCTCTGGCGGCACCTGGTTAGGACGGGTTGGGCCAACCGTCTCTTCCAACCGTCGGTACCCAGGTACCGTTACACGGTAGGGGGTACCGTGTACCTCTTAAGTGAAACGTACCATGGTACGTTCAGTTGGCTACCGGCGGTACCCTGGTGCCGTGTACACGGTAGCCAGGTACCATTATACCTATGTAAATTTTCCAAACTCATTTTGTGTGTTCCTTTTTCAAAATAACCCCAACTAAAAATATATTTGACATTTTAGAAATAATTTTTGAGTGAAAGGGCATAAGTAAATCATTAAAATATATCATTATCTTTACACAAATATTTCTAAGCTCGTAGGAGTATATCTCGGTGATGCTTAACAAGCTAATAGAGGTTTGGCGTTTGGTTCTTCCTGCAAATGATGTTAGTAGCATTTGGAAGACTTATTTAGCACATTGAAGCTGTTACGGGGTACGACATTCAAGGCAAACAATCTCCCCCTTTTTGATGTTGACAAATAAGGCTTTCGAATAAAATAATCAAAGGCACAAACATATCGTAAAAAGCATATATTGATTTTAAAACTCCCCCTAAGTTGATGCATGTGATATTTTGACAAAAACTCCCCCTAATTGTATGCATATGAAAGCCTAATATTTCTCCCCTTTTTGGCAACATTCAAAAAGGTGGGGTACCAAAAGCATGAATTTCAACACATAGGCTTTCATCACAGCAACATCATAAGCATTCAAGTAAACCACAAGCATCATCAAACCATAAGCATATTCATATCAAAGGAGTTTTTAATCATAAAAGTGCATAAATACGAGTTTTAAACATAAGACATGATAAGGAGTTTTGAAACATAAAACAAAGTACATAATTGTTTTGAAAACATAAAGAAGAGAATGTTTGATCATTTTGTCAAATGCCTAACACTTAGCGACGACGTCTAGAAGCACGATCCTCATTTTGATTTTAACGATTATCACGGTCCTCCATTTTCTTCATGCGATTCGAGAGGTCATCGAGGCTTTCTTGAAGTTTTTTCATCGGAGCCACCACGGTCTTGAGAATGAATTTCTTGAACTTCTTGAAAGGATTTTGGAAGTGGAGGCCATATGGGAGTGACGATGCATGAGAGAGGCCGAGGAAGCATGAGATGCCGACTTTGAGCGTTTGACCCGAGGAGCACGAACAGGGACTTCCGTGTTGGCATTTTCTTCGGCTACGGCTCGGGGTGCTCGGGAAGTGGAAGGAAAAGATGACATGGAACACCGAGGGCCATACTCCACTCTTGTCGCCACATCAAGATTTTGGAACTCCTTCTTCATGTAGTACTCCTCTCCAATCTTTACAAGGCCACAATACCCAAGGCACTCCGCGTCAAGATAGCGGACGCGGGAAGGGCGCACCTCAAGAATTTCTCTCTTGGAGAAGATATGGGTAAGAAGCATGCCATAAGGTTTGTTTTGGCGATTGGAGCATTCGTGCGTGTGTCTAAGGATGATGGAAGGGATGTTGATTTTCTTGTGTGTGAGCAGGAAATATAGGAGAGTGCATTCATAGACCCCGACTTGTTTATCTTTGTTAAGGACGAGGATGACATTTTCTTTGAGGATTTTGAGGAGGATAAACCTATTTGCGGTCAAGTCTTTGACATTTGGCCGAAGGAGGAAGTAGTGCGGGTCCTCAAAGACGTGGTCAAAGGCAATGTTATTTAGCACTTGGAGGCAAGAATCAGAGTTAAAGTCTCGTGAGTCGGTAATCCACCCCTTTTTGCAATAGGTGGAGACTCCTTGACGCTCTAGGTGAAACCATTCAGAAAGGTTTTGGGTGTTGAATCCGAAGGTTTTGCCGGCTACAACGGCGGTAATGGAAGGGTCTTGGGGATGATATTTCATCGAAGAATAAAATTGATGAACAAGTTCCGGGTAAACGGGGGCTTGGAGTTGAAGAAAGAAACTCCAACCTTATTCTTGAATGAGTTCAAGAACGGCAATCAGGATATCATCTTCTTTTAAGGTTCTCCCCTCAATGATGTGTGGGTCAGCGTAAGCCTTGAACCCGTCTTGAACATCGGGTTGAGCATTGGTTTGAACATTGGAAACAATTTCACTCATTTTGGAGATTTGAGAAAATTGGTAAAATTGGACGAAAATGGGGAAATTGATACCTAATGCACGAATTGAGGAGAGTACTTGAAGAAATTGAACCTAATGTTTGAAGAAATTGAAGAATTTGGATGAGGAATTACCTTGATTGAGATTGGAGAGACAAACGACGTACGGGAGAGAGAGAACGCCGGGAGAAATTTGTAGAGACCGAGTGGAAGAAATGAGAAAAGTTAGGGTTTTAAAATAGGTTTGACCCGTCGCGACGGTCGGTACCTAAGTACCGTGTTAACGGTACCTTGGTACCGTGTAGACGGTATGCCATACCGTGTCCAAGTACCGTGTAAGGTCCAAAATCTTATTCTTCTCTGGCGGTATCTGCATTAGGACGGGACAATAGTACCGTCAGGGTACCGTGCCTCTGCTTAATGTTTTGTTTCGACCTCTAGACACGTGTTTTGAGCATTTGGACTTGATCAATTTATTTTTATGATGTAATGGGATAATAAGAACCTTAAATTTCACTTTAATTCAAGCATTCTCATTTCCCGACAAATATGTAAAAATTGTTTTTCATCCAATGGTTTTGTAAAAATGTCGGCACGTTGTTCAAGCGTATTTACATATTCAATTTGAATATCTCCCTTTGCAACACGATCACGTATGAAATGATGTCTTATTTCTATATGTGTAGTTCTAGAATGCAAAACGGGATTTTTTGAAATATTTATTGCACTCGAATTGTCACAAAAAATAGGCACTTTTGAAAATTTTAAGTTGAAGTCACTAAGTGTTTTCATCATCCTAAAATTTTGAGCAAGACAACTACCCATAGCCACATACTCCGCTTCAGCGGTGGATAGGGCAACGTAGTGTTGTTTCTTAGATGACCAAGACACTAGTGCATGACCTATGAATTGACATGTGCCGCTTGTGCTTTTCCGATCAATACGACATCCGCCAAAGTCAGCATCACTAAAACCTATCAAACTTAAATTCGTATTCTTGGGATACCATAAACCCATATTGGTAGTTCCTTTGACATAACGAATTACTCACTAGACGGTATTTAGATGTGATTCTTTAGGTGATGATTAGAAATGAGCACAAAGGCAAACGGAAAACATGATGTCGGGTCTAGATGCAGTTAAATAAAGTAAACTACCGATCATACCTCGATATACCTTTTCATTTACGGGTTTTCAGCTTTCGTCGCTATCAAGCTTCAAGGTTGTGCTCATTGGTGTTGGGTATGTTTTTGAGTCTTCAAGGTTAAACTTCTTGACTAATTCTTTGGAATACTTGGTTTGGCTAATGAAGATACCATCTCCAAGTTGCTTGATTTGAAGTCCAAGGAAGAAGTTCAACTCACCCACCATACTCATTTCAAATTTGCTTATCATAATTCTTGAAAATTCATTACATAAGGCTTCATTAGTTGACCCAAAAATAATATCATCAACATAAATTTGCACAATTATGAGATCTTTTCTTTTTGTTTTGACAAAAATTGTGGAATCGATCTTTCCTTTTGCAAATCCATGTGAGATGAGATGTTCGGTAAGCCGCTCATACCAAGCTCTAGGAGCTTGTTTGAGTCCATAGAGAGCCTTATGAAGTTTAAAAACATGATTTGGAAAATCAGGATTTTCAATACTGGGAGGTTGTTCAACATAAACTTCTTCTTTCAACCCCATTTAAAAAAGCACTTTTTACATCCATTTGAAAAAGTTTGAAATTAAGAGCACTTGAAAAAGGTAATAACATTCGAATAGATTCAAGCCTAGCAACCGAAGCAAAAGTTTCATCATAGTCAAGTCCTTCAACTTGGCTATAGCATTTAGCAACAAGTCGACTTTTATTGGTGATAATAACACCATTTTCATCAAGCTTGTTTCTAAAGACTCATTTAGTACCCACTAGGGGTGTGCATTATCCGATCCAAACCCGGACCGACCTGAAACCCTGCCAAAACCGGACCGGACATGTCCGGACCGGTCCTTATTCGGTCCGGTCTTCGGTCCTCACATTTTCCTTATTCCGTTTCCGGTCCGGTCCGGTCCACCGGGTTTCGGTCCGGACCGGTGGACTGGTTACATTTTATTTTATTTAAATATTTGTTTTTTATATAGTTTCCTAATATAGTTTTTAAAGTTTTTTTCTTATACTTAAAATTAATTTAACTTTAATACTAAATTTTTTTAAAATATTTTGATTTTATTATTTAATATAGTTTTTTAATACTCCGTAAATTTCAATTCAAAATAAAATACCAATTCTAATGATATTTAAATATTTTTAACATGAAATATGTAAACATTATCTTTACATAAGCGATATAATGCATTTCAAATTAATGTATCAATGCTATAATTTAAGTCTGTACTTTATCAGTAACAAAACTTTAATCAACAAAAAATTATTGTAAACAATCCTATGAACAAAAACAGTAAAAAACGTATCCGTCAGTCTAAACTAACGAAAAAACACAAAAAATATTTTACAAAAAAAGTAAAAACACAGTTAGAAGAAGAATATTCTATATGTAAAATAAAAATTACAAACAAATTTTATGTCCAGTCCCAATCCGGTCCAGGTTTGACCCAATGAACACCCCTAGTGCCCACAACGGGTCGGGTTTCCGGTCTTTTGACTAGTTCCCAAATTTTGTTGGGTTCAAATTGCTCAAGCTCTAGTTGCATGGATATAATCCAATCACTATCTTTTAGCGCATCTTCTACGTTCTTAGGTTCAAATTGACTAACGAACGCATAGTGTGCACAAAGATTGTAATTGTTCCTAGTTCTAACTCCCTTTTCAATATCTCCAATGATATTGTCTCTTGGATGATTCTTCAAGTGTTTGTAAGCCTTTGCTAGTTGCTTCTTTTCATTTTCTTTTTCTTGTGCAGGAATTTCCAGGATTTCTTCTTCCTCTTCTTCTTCATTTAAACCAGCAATTACCTTACTCGATCCAAAGGGATCGGTTTCATCAAATTTCACATGCATAGATTCTTCTACTTTATAATTTGATTTATTATATACCCTATAGGCTCTACTATTTGTTGAATAACCAAGAAAAATTCCTTCATTTGATTTAGGCTCAAATTTGCCTAAATGATCTTTGGTATTCAAAATATAGCATTTACACCCAAAAACATTGAAATAGGAAATATTTGGTTTTCTACCTTTCCAAAGTTCATAGGGAGTCTTTTTAATAATAGAAGTAATACCCGGTTAAGAACGTAGCATGCCGTGTTGACCGCTTCTCTCTAAAAATATTGTGGTAGGTTGTGTTCATTCAACATGGTCCTTGACATTTCTTGAAACGTCCTATTTTTCCTTTCAACAACTCTATTTTGTTGAGGTGTTCTAGGAGCCGAAAAGTTGTGAGAAATACCGTGTTCATCACAATATGTCTCCAAATCGGTATTCCGGTATTCTCCTCCTCTATCACTTTTAATAGAGGTTATTTCATAACCTTTCTCATTTTGGATTCGCTTGCACAACTTAACAAACGCATTAAATGCATCATCTTTATTGGCAAGTAATATAGTCCAAGTATAACGAGAAAAAACATCTACAATTACAAAAGTAAAACTAGCTCCACCTAGGCTTTGAACGTCTACGGGCCCAAATAAATCCATATGTAATAGTTCAAAGGATTTTGGTGCATTTTGACGTGATGCATTTTTAAACCATTTTGGTGCATCTAATTTTGATGCAAACATGACCCTTAGATCTCACAATCTAAAGCACAATATTCATTCTCATTTCTCTCTTAAGATCGCATTCTCACCAGAACCAAAATCTATACATACATACATACATACCTACGTACGTACGTACGTACGTACGTACGTACATACATACATACATACATACATACGTACATACGTACATACGTACCTACGTACGTACGTACATACGTACACACACACACACACACACACACATACATACATACATACACACACACACACATACATACATACATACATACACACACACAGAGACATACATACATACATACATACATACATACATATATATATATATATATATATATATATATATATATATACACTCTGTATTTGGTTTGAGATTTTCAATACGTAAAGTTACCTCGTACTGTTCTAAATACTGAACCGAACATTCAGTTTGATATGGTTTGGCATTTCAACGATGTATTTTCAGTTCGGTATTTTTCATTTCAATTTTCTCAACTTTTTCAAAATTTTTTGACATCATTCAATTCTTGCTCACCCCTAGTTGTTATAAGCCCCACACCACTTCTGCCAATCTCTAGATCGCTCTTGCTGCTCGATATAATTCGGTGTCCACAACTCATTTTTATCAACTTCAAGACTAACTTCATACGCTTTGCAAAGGCACAAAAACTATGCAAAGGCACAAAAACTATGACTCCGATGAAGTTGCCACCATTCTCACAAATCTAGATGATCTGAATGAAGTGATTCTTGAAAGAGATGTGGTAAATGCTACTATGTGCGACCTTCCTGCCGAATACTCCTCTTTTGAGAAGAACATCCACGTAAATGAGAATATCAGTCTAAATCAATTTTCTCGATGGCTCGTCTCCGAAGAAATCAACATGCAAATAGAGTGTAGTTGACTCTGTTTTTAGAAGTACCCATACAGCCCTATTCGCTTCAAACGATTGTGACCACGCCCATGTTCATGCAATGAGCTCACGATGGGGGAGTGGGCGGTGTCATCCGTGATCGTGGCTGAGGTGCCAACCTTTGTGTATTTTTGAAAATTTTAAATTGTTTTTTAACTAAATATAAATAGTGAATAATTGATTCTGGGCAGTCCAAAATGAATGAACAATAAAATATGAAGTGAGGGAGTGTAAAAGTTGTAAAGTGCAAGTCTTGAAATTTTTAGGCTTTGGAAGCCATTTCAAATGCAATCCATTACTATATATTTCATATTATACAATACATAAGATCACATCAGTGAGATGAAAAGTAATGCACGGGAAGATAAGCCCTGGGATTTGGAGGTGAAATCATCTTACCTCCATGATTTAAATGAATGCAGAGATCAGAAATATAAAAAATATAATCAAGCACGAGATATTGGGGGGGGGGGGGGAGGGGGGGTTCCTCTGGCAAATAGTAGTAGTGTGGGACTACCCGGCGGTAACCACCCCCAACTTAGTTCAAAACTAGCCATCATACTCTCCCTGAGAGAACTTGTTCTCTGGATAGAAGATGGCCACCACTTCATTGCCACCAAATTTCCTGCCGTTCAGTCTTTGGCGAGCATTTGTCGCACTGTCAACATCTGCATACTCCAAAAACACCTGCAAACACACATAAAGGCAAAAAAGATGTCGCAATTCCGCACGCCATTATTAAGAGGCTTGAAAAGATGAGTGTCATCATGTCATGAACTTGACTTTTTTATCAATGAACTTGGTTGAAAACTTGAAATCCACTCTTTGATTGGGATAGGTAATGGCCTATTACTCTATCAGAAGTACTCAATGGAAAGTTCTTCCCAGAATAGATAGATCAAAATTCAGTACATAAATTTTACCTTTCCAACTCCTGGTGTAGGGTTACCATTTGGGTTTGGGCGGGGAATAACAACACTGACCAAATTACCTGTAGAGTGACAACATCAAGGCTGAGATGCACATTAGATGAGGGATAAATACAACTTCCAGAAAATTTAAATAGATAAATGGTTTTTGTGAGCATATACTTCGGAAATCTAATATAGATGCTGAATGAAGACAAAAGGCTCCAAAAAGCAAAGTTATAATCAGTTATTTAAAAAAACACCATTCACAAGAGACGACACATAGAGAAGAGAAAAAACAAATCCACCATGAACATAATTTACATACCAAACTTCCCGCATTCCATATTAATGTCTTCGAATATATCTTTATAATCTTCATCTTCTTTGAGCTCATTTTCATCTACCATCTGAGTCAGGCACAAAACCCTCGTAGATAGTGTTCCGGGTTGTAGCATAAACCTCTGAAAATGTATAAGCATCACAAGAGTATACTAAATTATCGACTCCCAGAACTAATTTGTATCAATATACACACAAAGACACGCTGAAGTAAGTAGTTCAATCTTAAGCCTGAAAATATTAAGGCTCTACAGCAATAACACTTCCTGGGCATAATTAAGTTAACTCTTCCTTTCCTGAACAATACAATTCAACTTGCCTATATAATTAATACTCCCCCCATCCCTAAATAAAGTTTAGGATTTGACTTCACTGAGTTCATAAAAATATTTGAAGAGTTAAATAAAAAGTGTAGAAATTTGAGTAGAAGGGAGAAACATTTTTAGCCACATGTTTCATTCCTTATTTGGAAAGTAGGGAAGGGAACATTTCAAAAGGGAAAATGTAAACTTCATTTTGGGACGGAGGGAGTATGATACTTACCACTTCTTTGGACAGTGTGTACTGGCGTAAGAGGGCGCAGGTAATGAAAGTGTGGGAAAGGCGACCACCCCCTGTTTGGGGTGCTGTGACATGAGCTTTAAAAAAAGAAGGAAAATATTTGAATCTTCTCTACCATCACTCTATCACATCCTTCAAACCTTGGCAATCACCGTCTTCATCATCTTTTTCCCATACGGTTGTAATTTGCACCTACTTCTCAACCCTCGCTTTATCCTCTTCCAATAACAACAAGCACCCTAGTATAATCCCAACTCCATTGAGGTTTGGGGGTCATGACTCATGATGTACGCAACCTTACCATTGTGAAGCACAAAGAGGTTTGTATCCATGAGACCCTTGATGCATTGTTGCATTTCCTGCCTAAAACTTCATATAAAGTGGAAAGCAAAGGAAGTTTAATGTGCCTTTTTTATTAAGTCAACTATTTATCCGAAGCTATAACATTTTCAAAATTACTCTTTTAGCTTCCTTGGCAAAGGACTCTCTTTTTATCCTCCCAAACAAGAATAAGGTAGCAACTTATTCCACCCCTTCCCTCCATTTACATTGCCTACTTTCTAACACTTCCATTAAGTAAACTCCCCAACAACTGGTTAAAAAATGTCTTGTAATTCTTGTTTAGGTAAAAAATTGGAGGCACATATAGCAAGTAAGATGCTCATGTAATTATAAGAGTGAGAGATAACATAGTTGTTACGGCGGCTAGGAGAGGCTGGGCGCTAGAGTACCTTCCAACCGCCTAGGAGATTAGGCACGCACCTAAACTCCCCAAGACGAGTGGGCTATGGCGACCTTAATAATTTCATAGGTACTAATTTAAAAGCATATAGTATGAAATAAGTAATTAAAGAATACATACTCTGAAACTTATGAACAAATGTTGTTTTAAAAAAATAAAAAGAAAAAAACATATGCTTTTTTTAAATTCCTTGAAACAAACCTAGTAATCTAGTATAAAATAAAATAGATATCCTCAAAACAAATAGAACACAAATTCCTTATGTTTTACTCTGTAGTTAGAGAAAAAACACAACACTTTACTATTTTATTGAAAAGAGTCGCGCACAAGAGTCGACACATTGTAGCAGGGTTTGCCGTCGAAACTGAAGGGTCGCGTAGCTTATCGCTTCAATTTTTCAGCACGTAAATGTTGCTTCCGTAGATTGCGATCCAAGCAGAGCTTACGATCTCGCGATCTTAATCTCCGCTTCGGAGGATTGACAAGAACTTCCGATCTTCCTCACGATTCACATTTTGGCGAGGTAAAAAAAGCTAGGCGACCATTTAGGCGTCCACAAAACATCACCCAGATGCTTAGGCGATGCCTTGATAACTATGCATAGTTATCACATCGCCAAGGCGAGTTGCAGCGCCAGTGTAACGCCATGACACCTAGGCGTCTAGGCGCCCGCCTAGGCGACCATAAGGCGACTAGTAGTAAATGATAATTGCTATACATTAGTAA